ATCTTGATATCACAGATTGTGATACCTCTAGATTTGTTCTTTATCAAGATTGCTTTGGCTAATTGGGATCTTTTGTGGTTCCATACAAATCATAGTATTCTAGCTCTGAAAAATGCTATTAGTATTTTGATAGGGATTATCTTGAATCCATAGATTGCTTTTGGTAGTATGGAAATTTTAACAATATTAAATCTTCCAATCCATGAACATGAAATATCTTTCCATTTATTTGTGTCATCTTCAGTTTCTTTCATCAGTGTTTTATACTTATCAGAATACAGATCTTTGACCTCTTTGGTGAAGTTTATTCCTAGGTATTATTTTCTTTTTGGTGCAGTTATAAATGTGATTGTTTTCTTTTTCTTCTACTTTGTTACTAGTTTGTAGAAAGGCAACAGATTTCTGTATATTAATTGCAATCCTGCACCTTTACTAAATTCATTTATCAGTTCTGGTAGTTTTTGGTGGAATCTGTAGAGTTTCCTATATATAGAATCCTGTCATCTGCAAATCGTGACAGTTTTAATTCTTCCTTACCAGTTTGGATACGTTTACGTTTGCAGCCTAATTGCTGCAGCTAGGAGTTCCAGTAGTACTGTGTGGAATAAAGGTGGTTGATACTCTTGTCTTTTTCTTGACCTTAGAGGAAAAGCTCATTTTTCACCATGGAGTATGAGGTTAGCTATGGGTTTTTCATCTATGGCTTATTACTTTGAGGTAATTTCCCTCTACACCTATTTTGTTGAGAGTTTTTATTATGAATTGGTATTGTGGTTTGTCAGATGTTTTTTCTGTAGCTACTGAGATGATCATACAGTTTGTATTCTTGTTCATGTGAAGAATCACATTGATTTGCAAATATTGAACCACCCTTGCATCTTTGGATTAAATCCTATTTGTGGTGAATGATTTTTTTAAAGTATTGTAGGATTTGCTAATATTGCTTAATATTTGCTAATAATGTATTGTTGGTTTGCTAATATTTTGTGAGGATTTTGGCATTTGTGTTCATCAGAGATACTGGCCTGTAGTTTTCTTTTTTGTAGTGTCTTTGGTTTTGGTATCAGGGTAATGCTGGCCTTGGCAAATGAACTTAGATGTTTTCCTCCTCTTATTTTTTGGCATAGCTTGAGAATTTGATTTCTTTTAATAATTTTTATCACTTTATTCTTATTTTGTTCATACATTGTTTTCCTGATTTATTTCTTCCTGATTAAAAAAAAATTTTTGTTTTAATTACTTATTTCTGAGAGAGAGCGTGAGCAGGGGAGGGTCAGAGAGAGAGGGAGACACCGAATCCGAAGCAGGCCACGGGCTCTGAGCCAGCTGTCAGCACGGAGCCCCATACGGGGATCGAACCCATGAACCATGAGATCATGACCTGAGCCGAAGTCAGACGCTTAACTGACTGAGCCACCCAGGCGCCCCTCTTCCTGATTTTCTTAGCTCATTGAGCACATTTAGAAAACTTGATTTAATGTCTTTGACCAGCCATTCTGATGTCTGGGCTTTCTTGGGGATTGTTTCCATCAAATTCTTTTTTCCTGGAGATGGGTCTTACTTCCCTGTTATATACTTTGTAATTGTTTGTTGAGGATTGGATATCCTGAGTATCATAATGTGGCAGCTCTGGAAACCAGATTCACCCACTCCTGGGGGCTTGTTAATCTTGGCATATTGAGGGCTTTAGCTTTCTTCGTTTTCCAGACTTACAAAGCATGTATTCCATATTGTGTGTGGTCACTGAAGTTTCTGTTCTGTTATCTCTGGTTTGCCAGTAACCAGAATAAGATTTCCTTAAACTTCTGACTCTAAAAAGGGAAAAACAAGAAAGTATTCTTACCCCTTTAAATATTCCCATAGCCGCATTGGGGAAAGCAGCTGCCTCCCGAGACGTCCCAAACTAAGGCAAGTGTCTGCACCCGCCCCTCAGGGATCCACCAGATTGACAAAAGCACACAACCCCAAGTTTGGAGGACAAGGTCCCTACTGTCCACCCTACCACCAGCCACCTGCTCGCAGGATGTGGGACTCTCCCCCCACGGCTGTGGTGGGGCTGGGGAAAGGAGATCGTAGCTTCATGCATGGTGTTCCCTTACCAAAAATCAGCAGCATCTTCCTTGCATAAAGCATGTCCCTCGTTGTTACACGTAGCCACATGGGTTCCAGAGTTCCAAAATACTGGATTCTGATTGTTTTCCCCCTAGTTTACTAGCTGTTTTGGTGGAGAGACCAACCCCTCGCATCGTACAGCACTGGTTTGTGCGACATCCCTCCCCCTCGGGGTTACAGTTGGTGTCTTCTAACCGCCTCCTTCACATTAATACCAACTTCACTTCAGTAGTATTGAAACACTTCGCTCCTATAAATACAGTTGTTTCCTAACCCCTCCTTTGTGCTCTGCTGTCATATGCATTACATCCTCGTACACTCTGTGCCCAGCACCACCAATGTCTAATTATCGCTTTATCTTTCAACTCCTAGGAGAAAAGAGTTACAAATGAAAACGGCTTCTGTGCTGTACGTTGTACTTACTCATGTACTTCCTTCACTGCTGCTCTTTAAATCTTCCCACGGATTTGCCTCACTCTTGGGTGCCCTCTGCTCTCAGCCTGAAGGACCCTCTCTAGTATTACTCGTGGGGCAGGTCTGCTACTTAAAAGTTCTGTTTTGTTTTGGGGGGGGGGGCGGTGTTTGTTTTTAACCTGGGAACGTGCTAATTTCTCCATTTTTGGACAAGAATTTTGCTGGACACAGAATTCTTGGTTGAGTCTTTCCCCTTTCAGCACCTTGAATACATCATCACATTGTCTTTCCTCCTCTCTTTCTGATGAGAAACCAGCCCTTTGTCTTCCGGAGGATCCTCAGTACTTGGCGAACTCCCCACTCTTTGGCATCTTTCAAGATTCTTTCTCTTTGACTTTTCACAGTGTGGTTTGGGCAGGTGTGGATCTCTCTGACTTTATCCTTGGGCGGTTGAACTTCGTGGTTGTGTAATGGCTTTCATCAAACTTAGGAAATTTTCAGCCAGTATTTCTTCAGATGTTCTCTTTGTTCTCTGTCTCCCCTCTCCTTCCGGGACTCCCGGTCTGTGGACGTTGTGCTTGATGATGTCTCACAGATGCTCGAGACTGTTGTTCTTCATGCTTTTTCTTCCTGTCCCTCAGGCTGGATGATCTAAATCAGCTCGTCTTCACATTTGTTGATTCTTCTGCCGTCTCCTATCTGTTGCTGAGGCATTCAAATACATTTTTCATTTCTGAACTTTTGAATTTCTGTGATTCTTTTTTAGGATTTCTGTCCCTTTCCTGATATCTATTGGGCGAGTCCTCCGTGCCCTACTCCCCCTTAGTTCTTTGGATGCGTTTCTTTGTGGTCTTTGAACATTTCAAACAGCTAATCTAGTCTTGGTCTAACAAATTGAGTATCTGGAATTGAGAGAGACACAGGTCCCAAAGGTGCGGTGAGAGAGAATTAAGAAGCAGGGGGCGGAGCCTCTCTAGGGGCCAGAGCACCGGTCTCCCAGCTCCAGCCTCTCTCATTTTGCTGCGTGTCTGATACCAGCAAGCACCTATAACATAGTATTGGGCATCCTGACAGGTCACGCACCTGCAGCGTGTTCCCTCCTGGGTCATGAGTATGCCTGGCACCCTTATGATGTCCTTCTGGAGAGAACGAGCAGTCCTGGCGGCTTTCCGACCTGGGGATGGAACTGCTTTCAGTTCTTGCTGCTCTGACCATTTCCTTCAGGACATTGTCACGGCGCCTCTGGCTTCTTGTTCTCCAACATGGAATTCCTCAGGGACAATTGCTGTTGACTTTTTTTCCCCCTCCTTTCCTGCATATGGACCAAACTCTTTAATTTGCATGTCTCATTTAAAAAAAAATTTTTTTTTTAATGTTTATTCTTGAGAGAGACACACACAGAGTATGAGCCGGGGAGGAGCAGAGGGGGAGGCCCCGTTCCCAGGTTTCCTGGTAGTTAGGCTGTTGCTGGACCCAGCTGCCCCCCCCCACCCCCCCACAGCTGCACCGGTTACAACTGCTACCAACTGGTTTCGGGTAAGTGCTCCCTGGAAGGAGGTCATTCGCACTGGGTGAGTCCTGAGGTCACATGGAGACCACCCTTGTGTGTGCACTTGAGATTTTGGGGGTAACTGCCAGACAGGTCAAAGGATGACATCTGGGCGTGGGGCTCTGGAGGCGCCCCTTTCTCATCGGGCCCCATTCGTAGGCCCCTGGATGGCGGTGTGCAGAGTGATTGCAGGCTGTTGGTTTTCAAGGCTACAGGGCTGGGGGCGGGGCGGTCGGGACTGGGGCAAGATCACGTTCCGTGGGGTTGGCTGTTGTTCCCGGGATTCACTATTTTTCTTAGGTAAATACTCCATGGATTGTTGCAAACTGGTTTATTTCCAGAGTTCTGAAAAGGCTGATTTTGCCCAGTTTTACCCAGCGTTCTCATTCCTTTTATGGAGGAGAGTTATTTCAAAGGCCCTCAGGCCGCGTTCCTGCCTGTGTCACTTCTCTTCCTGGTCACTTTAACTCCTCTACACTAGTCCTTCCTTGAGCAGCAGTCACCTACCCTCTGCGGAAATGCGTGCCGGCTGGGGGGCTCTCGCTATTCAGTGTCCTAATATCTGCATGGTAATGACAGCGCTTTCACACGCTCTACATCATTTCATTGTAAATATAAGGACTACTGGTGAGATGAGTGCTTACTAGCCCTGATTAGTATTTGTATTTTTCAGAATTGCTTATTAGATTTTACAGTATTTTTACACTGGCTTATTATTTAATCTCTAACGCTGATAAACTGTTGTGTCCTGTGAGCCCTGTGGTTAGACTGTAGCCCCCAAACCATCAAGACTCCCTTCAGTCCAAACAAACAAAAAGCACTCCAGCGTGAGTAGTAAGCCATACCGAGTTTCAGACCTTCCCCCCCTTCACCTCGCTGCCGCTTCTTGATAAGGTTACTGAAACTGATGCTGTTCACATGTTAGGTTACCACAAGCTGCTGACTAAGAGTGTGGCTGAGACTCCAGTACATAAGCAGGTCTCCCGAAGGCTTCTTCACAGACAGATCAAGGGCAGGTGAGTAACATCCTCGTCAAGCTACTTCACGTATTCACACAGCCTTGCGAGTTACCTTGTAGGCCACCGCCCACCTTCTCAGGCCCCTGCGACTGACTTCTTAGCTGTCTTATCACCTAAGAGCATTCAGCATTCTGTAACCACGGTGCGGGCTGGAGACCATCAGGATGTGCCCTTTCGCCTCCCCTCTTTCACTCGGCAGAATTACTTGGAGGCTGGTCCATGGTGTCGTGTGTCCATATTTCTTCCTCATTGGGCTGGTGGGGGATTGCTGAGAAGCATTCCATCAAATGGGTATTCCACATTTATAAACTTCTTAAAAAATTTTTCTTCAGAGAGCATGTGTGCACACGCACACACGTCGGAGAGGAGGAGGGGGAGGGAGGAGGGAGAGAACCCAAGCCGGCTCTGCCCAGCCCCCTACACGGGGCTTGATCCAAAGACCCTGGGATCATGACCTGAGCCAAAATCAAAGTCTGGTGCTCAACTGACTGAGCCACCCAGGCCTCCCCTCCACAATTTTAAAAACCATTCATCGGGGCACCTGGGTGGCTCAGTCAGTTAAGCAACTAACTCTTGGTTTTGGCTGAGCTCAAGATCACATGGTTTGTGGGTTCGAGCCCCACGTCAGGCTCCGTGCCACCTGCTTAGGATTCTGTCTCTGTACCCCTCCCTTGTGCGTGTGCTCTCAAACAGTTTTAAAAATCTTAAAAAAAAATTGTTTTTTTCTTCCTCTCTCTCAGCCCCTCCTGTCGATGCTCACACTGTCTTTCTCAAAATAAAAAACTTAAAAACAAACAAAACAAAACAACAAACCTCAAGGCACCTGGGTGGCCTCGGTTGGGTGTCCAACTTCGGCTTAGGTCATAATCTCATGGTTCATGAGTTCAAGCCCCATATCAGGTTCTCTCCTGAAGCACAGAGCCTGCTTCGGATCCAGTGTCCATGGCAGTGCCGGAAAGTTTGTCGTGCTGAGCTGCCCCTTTCCTGGTTCTCTGGCTGGAGGGCTGCCTTTTCCTAGGCAGTTCTGCTGCCTGTTGACATACGGGGTTGTCCGTTTCCCCAGCACCCAGTCCGGGATCCAGAAAGCAAACAGGGAACTCTGGGAGCTCGTTGTGCTGTCTCTCCTTGGGTCCTGCGGTCCCCAGCCACCTGCCTCCTCTTGTCACTGTTTAACCTGTAGCTCATCTTCATATAACATCCAGGGTTTTTAGCTGGACTTAACAGGAACGAGAGGAAATCTGGTCAAGGTTTCATCTTGACCCTATCTGTGCACAGATTTTACACGTGTACAGGTTACCTCCAGGATAAATTGCAAGGAGAGAGATGGTGGGTTAGAAGGCATACATATTTTAATTAGTTTTTATGTTGCAAAACCACTTTCCAAAAAAGTGTTCTAACCATCTCGCTTGCAACCATGAAGAGAGCGCTTGCCACCACTGGTGTCCTCGAGCCCCGTGGTCTTTGCTGCTCTGCGAGGCTGACTGTGCATGAACCGTGCATGATACTACATAATCCCCGTGCTTGTTACTCGTTAAGGTCCTCCGAGCCTGGTCCTGATATTGACGTTGTCGAAGAGTCCCCGGAAAAAGGAGCAGACGGTATTACCTACATTTGTTTTCTGTTGTTTTCACTAGTTTCTGTGCAAACCTCTGCTGTTGCTCAGCCTGTCCTAAGATAGTGTGCAGACACTATGACAGCTCGGGGGCCCGGTACATGGTCTTTTACACAGAATTCCCTGAGGGAATTCCCGGAGAAACTTTTTTTTACAGAGTAGGAATGCAGTTCAGGGTTCGAGCTGACACGGTGCGATATGAAGTGCTGTGCCTTCTTTTAAACGTACACATAATGCAGGGGGTTCCAAAGACAGACATTTGGGTTTTTTCCAAAGACAGTCATGTTTTTTAATGACTCAAGTAATTTGTTTATTGTAGAAAAATCAGAAAAGTAATTTGTTTGTTGTAAAAAAAAAAAAAAAAAGAAAAGAAAAAGAAAATACAGAGAAGCCAGATTTTTAATGATGCTTGGTAATCCCACAACTCAGAAATACTGTTAACGTTTTAGCTTCACTCTTACAGGTGTCGTTTCTATACAAATGTATGTATTATAAACATGAAAACTGCAATTTTTAAATTTAAAAAGCTTTTTGCAAAAGTCACACTGTACAAACCCTTTTTCTACCCGATATCATGCATGGTTAAGAGGGCGGCAGTCTGAGACTTCCGAAGGTGACAGTCTAGAGGGTCAGTGGTTTTTCTGAACCTTGTCGGAACCGTATGTCCCACCCCTTGTCACTTTGTTACAACACTCCGGAAGTCTCAAGGTCAGTAATTTGTCACCGTTCCGCTTTGTATGTGGTATTACGTAAATTTTACCCATCTCCTATACGGGCACATGTAAAAAGCTTACGTTTCTCCCTGGTTCCTAACTGTGATTCTGGTTTTGTAGAAATAGGCCTGAGACGAAGTCCTCGCATCAAGCAGCTGTCGCTCAGCAGGACAAATTCTGGTTCCTTCTATTCTGTGTCTCAGCCCAAGTCTCGAAGTGTGCAGAGAGTTCACTCGTTTCAGCACAACAAGTCAGGTAACTTGCTTGCCCACCACCTTCAGAAGACTGTGCCTACTTGGCGGGAAGTGTTTTGGGGAAAAGAAATCTAAAATTTGACATTTTCTTCCTTGACATCTGAGCAGTAGAACAGGTATGTTCAGTAGAAGGCAGAGTGCTGAACAACACGACTCTTGCCCCCAGCGTCCTTCCTTCGGGTCCTACAACGGGCCATGCACACTGTCCTTTCCGCAACTTATTCATAACAGCTGATCACCCCTTATGTCCACCGTGTGTTCATATTCTACATTCAGGTGTGCTAGGTGGAAGAGGGCACCTGTTTGTCCTTCATTCCTTCATCCATCATTAGTTTGGATCATCAGATAATGGGTCTTTATGTTTACAAATTAAATTGTTCTGCTTGCCTCACAATAAGTAAGGGCTGAGGTAAGCACACACTCTTATTAAAATTCAAGATGGCAGCAGTAACTGCTGCCATAATTAGGTGGGATTCCCCACTCCCAGTTGCTCTAAAAAATTATCTTCTTGCATGGACAGGCTGTTAGTATTGGGAGGGCAGGAGCTGAGAAGAATCACTGTTTTTGACTTGCAGACCAAAGAGAAAACTGTCCAAACCGAAGTATTCGTTCTCCCAAGAGCCTGCTTTTTGGGGCTTTGTGTGGTATGGCCAGTCCCTCAGAAAAGGGTTCAGCTCGGCCTCAGAGGACTTCAAGGAGCACATTGGGTTCTGAGATACCTACAGCTTATCAGGTATAACATTTTGATAATGTTTAAAATAGCATGGTCTTGAGGGGGAAACAAATATGGCCCAAAAAAACCCCCTGAGAACATGAGGGACGAGAAAGCGGGTGATCTGTATAGATGCTAGTATACATTTGGGGGATGGTTGGGTTGATTGAGACGACTGACTATTGGGTTTGTAGGGATGTAAGGCCGCAGTTTGGCTGAGGCCACGGCGGTAGGGGGAAAATAGAAATGATCTCCTCTTGGTTTCGTCCACCATTTTGATCCTGCACCATGTATAGGCGCTCCTGACATGTGCAGGCAGCACTGAGCTGTTGCCCTCGCACTGCCCAGCCCTCGCCACTCCCTCAGGCCTGGCAGGCTCATTGATAAGTGCTCCTCCATCCCCACAGTTCCCGCCCTCCTTCGCTTCTGCCTGGAACATTTCAACCGCCTTTCCCTCTCGGGTCCATCCTGCCCCCAGAGGCCAGAGTGAGCTTTCTGACTGCAGCACTTTGCCTGAAGCCCTACAGCCCCTTTGTCTGTCAAAGCAGGGTTTTCTGAAAATGGAATCCTTAGGCTAAAAAATAATTTTTGTTTGGAAACCCAGCAAAGTGCTTAGAGTTTGGGGCAGGACATAGAGCTGTGGATGGGTTTGAAGGCCCCAGATCTCCAGAACCAGGTTCAGTCTCCCCCAGACGGGCAGGGGCCTCCATCGGCTGAAGGCAGGCTGCATGTGGGTCCGCAGGCAGCTGCTGGTTTTCACTTTAGGCCTAGAAAATGCTAGAGCAGAAGCATCAGAGTTCCCTCTTCCCCACGTTCCCAGCTTTGGCCTGTACCTGCTGATACCCATTCTTAATGACATAGAACTCACTGTTCGGTCCCTCCTTCCTGCCAGCTGGCTTGTGCTCCCAACACGTGTTGTCCCATGCATGTCCCTGTCAGTGCACTGGTGCCACCGTGTTCCCGTCCGTGCCTCACTGAACACGAAATACCCACTAGACCAGGAGTCCCTTGAGATGATCACGATAGGCATCTGACCTGCTTTACCTGTTGGAGTGCATACCTGCGTTTTGCCAGAAGGAAGGGAGATGTTTTTTGGGGGGGGAGGGGGGAGTGTCCTTCCTGAGACGTCATCTTTGTTGCTGGGCCATCTGTATCCATCGATTCCATCCCCCCAGTCCCCCCACCCCCCCAACACACGGCCTGGCCCCGGACGGTGCAGGGCAAGCAAATGTTGAAGGCAGGTGAACAGCAGATGATGTGACACCTCAGAGCTACTTCAGGAGGAGGGGCGCTCTGGGGGAAGAGGCCAGGGCAGGGGTGGAGCGCTTCACCATTCAAGGCCAGGCATGCTTTAGCTGTAGTGTATGCATCTGAAGAGAACTCTGGTCTTAGAACCAGGATTAGATTCGGTGCTTGGTGCCAGGAAAAGACAGTCTGTCACCTTTGGAAGTTGAAACGTGTTACTCTCTGAAATCCAGGTTAAGGATTTTCCCCTGTCCCTTTCTGAGCGTCTCAGAGGTGACAAATGTGCCGAAGAGCAGATGGGTGATGGCATTCAGGTACTGATGTAAGCATTTCTTTACAGACTCCTAAGAAGAGTTACCAGAAGTCTCCAAGCTCTTCTAAAGCGACACCTAGGTTTCCTCGTTCGCCACGAACTCCACTGTGCACCCCCGAAAGCCGGCAGAGACCCCCTACCGAAGTGACCCCTGCCAAACAGGCCGTTTTCAAGGAGTCCTTAAAAGACTCCTCACAGGACTGGGATTCACCATCTCAACCAGCAGTCACTCCTCAGCGAGGCCGCTCCCCTCTTGAAAAGATCCCCAGAACCCCCAGGAGGCCAGGTGGTCAGCCCGCTGGGATTCCGCAGAAGTCTACGTGGCCACTCTCGGCCAACTCCAGTCCAGAAAGTGCCCCCTGCCCTGCAGCCCCCAGCGGGAGCGCGGGTCCCGGGCCTGCCGGCTCCTCTCCGCAAGCAGCGGCCTCGGGGGCGCGGAGAGAGACACCTCCAGAGCAAGAGCACTGCGGTCCCCGGGGCTCCGGGCCCCCCCAGGCCGGGGAGCTAGCGCAGAAGGGGAAGGAGAAAACCGCCTCGGCCCCCAGCACGCCGGAGGGCACGAGTCTGGTTTCTCCCCCTCCTCCGGAGAAGCCTTGCGCCTTTCCCTCCGCCGACGTCTCCAAGACCAGTCCCTTTCGGAAGTTTTTGATAGCCCCTCCTCCCCCCGGAGAACCGGACAGGAGCGAGCCCTGGAACGCCCCCCGTGGAGCCTCGCCTCTCTCGGGTCCTGCGCCCTCCACGCCACCTGGAACCCCGCAGAGTGCCCAGCCTGCCCCCGCGCCCCCTCTGCCCCCTTCTAAAGCTGGGAAAAGGCCCAGAGAGGCCTCTGATCTTAAAAGCAGCTTCCGGGAGCGCCAGCCCAGCGCCTTTGCGGCTCCCAGAGCTGCCACCACAGACGCCAGAGAGAACCAGAAGGAAGAGCCCCTCTCTCCTCCTCCGTCCCCCGAAGGACACAGGCTCTGGAGGGACTGGCGGCTGTCTTCTCCCCTGCCACTGGCGCGTGACTCGGAGTATCTCACTCTCCTGGATGAAGCGGAGCTCAACGACGCTGATGGCTTGAAATGTGACGTGGCCCCAATGGGAGAAGACGAGAGGTCGAGGACGGGGGTTGCCGAGGAGAAGTCTCCGGCGAGCCCTGGGGTTCGTCCATCCCCGCCTGCCCGCGGGCCCGGCTCTCCCCCAACCCCCTCCTACGCCCTGCGCTGCACGGCCGACAGGAGGCAGCGCCAGGCCGCCGCGCAGCTGGAGAACCTGCAGGCGTTGGCTCGGCTTCCAGAAGCCCCTGCCAGCCCGCAGGCCTACGAGGTCGAGCTGGAGATGCAAGCTTCCGGCCTGCCCAAGCTCCGCATTAAAAAGATCGACCCCGGCTGTCTGTGCGAAGCTGAGCCCCTCCGACAGGCGGGGGGCTCCCTGGGGGACGCGAGCTCCCTCCCCGGTCTCGGCCCACCCCGGGCTGGCAGGTCCTCAGGAAGACCCGAAGCCACCTACGTGTCCCCGCCCTGCCTTCGCCCCTCGCACAGCACCCCTGGCAAGAGCGGGGGACAGACGTACATCTGCCAGTCCTGTACCCCCACCCGCTGCCCCTCTAGCACCCCCTCTCCGTTTCAGACGGACGGCGGTGTTCCCTGGACCCCGTCTCCCAAGCACAGCGGGAAGACCCCTCCGGACAGCATCAGAGACTGGCCCCGGAGGAAGCGGGCCGCGGGCGGCAGCTCCGCTAGGAGGGGCGAGGTTGGCGCCGACCTACCTGCAGGGGTGTCCCTGCTCGAGCCAGAGAGGAGAGAGTCCAGCCCTGAGCTCAGCATCAGCAGGACTCCCCTCTTGGGAGATTTCGAGCTCGAGGGGGTGTGCCAGCTGCCAGACCAGTCACCTCCCCGGGACAGCACGCCGAAGGCCGAGGAAGCCTGCTCCTGGGGCCAGTTTGGGTTGGGTTCCAGGAAGAGGCTCCTTCCTGCCGAGGAGGAAACAGAGTGTCAGGCAAAAAGAGTGTGTGATGGGCTGAGAGGAGAGAGCGAACTCTGCGCGAGCGAGGAGAGGTCTCCGGGCACAAGAGCACCGCCCCTGCCCTCCCCGGGGGACGACGAGGTGTTCGTGCCAGGTGAGGCCGCTGCCGTGGGTTTCCGGGGGTCGGGGAGGGCACTCAGGAGTTGCTCCTTGAGAAGGTCTGGGCCCCCCTGGCCTCGGGCCGAGCTCACCCCCGTCTCCGTAGGCTCGACGCCCCCTGCCGCCTGTGCCGTGCGGAGCGGCCTCTCCGCCAGCGGGCTGCAGGCCCTGACCGGGTCTCCGCTGCTGCTCCAGGGCCGAACGCCTTCCTCTCGCTGCCCCGAAGCCAGAGGTAACTGTTCGCGGAAGCTCCTGGAGGCTGACTGCAGGGGGGCGGTGCCGGGCCCCGGGGTCCGCTCAGGGCTGCCAGGCCGCTTTGGGGAGGAGTCCTGGGGAAGGCCCGAGTCCGAGGACTGTCCCTGGAGGGGGGGTCACATGCTCTTCCCAGAGCAGCTGTGCGTTAGAATGCCACCAGGTAGTGGAGTGGGGACCTCAGATCCTGATGTCTCCAGCTTCTTGCAGGGGTGGCAGGGGCGGCGTGGGGACAGGTGGCACGCTGCGGGGACAGGTGGCAGGCCGGCAGCGTCCCCGCAGGGCCCTCCCCGCCTGTGCTGCGGTACAGGGATCAGCCTGCAGGCTCCAGGCCTCCATCTCCTCAGCCCCGGGCTTGCTCTACTGAGCAAGGTCCCCGGGAACCAGAGGGGACTGCAGGAGGTGGAGCCTTCGGCGGCGCCTTTCCCTCGAGGCTCAGACTGAAGTCACGTGAAACAGCACAAACCCCTGAACGTACAGCTCCAGCTGAGGGAGTCTGAGCTGCAGGTCTTAGCTTTTCCTGGTATTCACTGCGGTCCCCCCGGTGCGACAGCGGGGAGGGCGCGCGTGCAGCTCCGGCCCCTTTCCTCGGGCCCGTCCTCAGGGACTCCCTGCGCTTCCCTAGGTGCGGACGCGGAGCTCTGCCCCGCCACAGCCGAGGACTCTCCCTTCAGCCGGGCCTTCTCCAGGAGGCGCCTGGTCGGCAGAACTTACACACGGAAGAAGCTGATCAGCTAGTGAGGAGGGAGCTGGCCGGGGACTTCCACCCTCAAACACTACGGAGCGTGGCCGGAGCCCCTGGGTCCCCGGCACCGAGGACAGGCTGGGAAGTCCGGGGGGCTCTTACCATAAGGAATTCTTCGCCCAGAAGCTCACTGCATGCGGGCCTGACTGCTCTACCGCCTGTGGAACCCTGGGCCTGCCGCGCAGAAACGGGCCTAACCAGGGCTCGGTGGGACCGAGCGAGTTCAGAAGCTGAGGATGAAGTCAGCCAGGTCCCCAGGCTGTCCCAAGGGTGGTCAGCTATCAGATCCCCCCAACCGTGCCTTAGGGTTTGTACTCCCCTCCCACACTGTGCCCCAACCCACCACCCCTGCCCCTTGTTGGGGGGCGGAAGTTAGGCCACATGGAAGCGTAAGGCCAGGCGCTCATTCCCGCCCTGGCCTCCGAGAGACCAAGGCAAGTCAGTTCCCCACCCCAGCCCCTTCATGGATCCTTCACGAAGCTGCCCTTGGGCTGGGACCCCAGCGGCAGGGCTCATGAGCGAGAGCATCACCCCCAAGCTGAAGGCTCTGTGTCTGACAGCAGAATAAAGTCCTCTCTGACTACTCAGCACTTCTGTTCCCTCACTGGGGCCAAGCTCTAACGGTTCCTGGAGCAGCCACCGCCCCAAGTCTGCCCTGACAGTGCCCGCCCGTCCTCACCATGAGCGGGGGGAACCTGAGTCCCACAGCGGCCTCGTGCGTTCCAAGGAGTAGCTGGCGGGGCCCTGGCCCGAAGTTCTGCACCAGCCCTGCGGTCGCAAAGGCTTTCACCCCTGTGGTGTCCTCAGCTCTGATGCTAGCGTCTTGTAAATCAAACCAAGTAAAAACTCCCGTTCTTCCCTTCAGTCTCCTTTATTATAAAATGGTTTTACAAAATTCTAAAATTAGGCCCAGTTTCCCGCCGCATACATAAGACCATTTAAAACACAGCCCCGTTGCCACTCACTGTTGTGCATCCGCCACCAGCCGAAGCCCAGGCCTGTGGGCACCTGCACGCAGGTCTGAGACCAGAAGTGCCTTTTGGAAACTCTCAAGCCAAAAGACAGCAAGCCCAGTACCCTGGCTCAAAGGAAAGGAGGGGCAGGAAGTCACAGATTAAAAGGCGTCCGCCCCACTGCGTTGTGTGCGTTGTGGCCCGGGTTTGCTGAGGCCACTGGGGCAAGATCAGCACCGGATGTGGAGGAGAGCTCCCAGCAGTCTTCTGTGACCTCCGGGGGCGGGCTCGGCCTCCGCGCAGGCGCACTCTGCCCCGAGCCTACAGGGGGTTCCTCCGGACATCAATGATGCCCGCGCTGGCGCGGCGCGGGTCCCGCCGGGCCTTGGGCAGGGGCGCGGGGTTGCGGGGCAGGCCCGCCTCTGCCACAGGGAGGGCCCGCACCCCCAAGGCCTCCTCAGCGCCGCCTGGCTCCTCACCGCACAGGCTGGAGCGCCTCCACGGCAGCGGCAGCGGCAGCGGGGCGCGGGGGGCCCCCTCCGGGAGGGGCTGCTGCCTGAGCGACTCGGACCCGGGGTGCAGCTCCTCTTCGTGTCCGGGGCCTGGTCTCTCCAGGCACAGCGCCCTCTTCTCTCCACCTGTCGCCCAGAGGAATGACACTGGTCAGGAGCGGAGGTCCTAGCCCCCCTGCGTGGGATGCCCGGGGAAGAGCTGGTTACAGGGGTTCCCAAGCCTCCCCCGAGGCGGGGCAAAACCGGGTCAGATGAGCCTCACCCCTGCTCTGGCCCGTGGCACACAGGCTACTGAGCTGCTGCTTCAGTTCCTGGTTCATCCACAGGTGGCGGCCCAGCTCCTTCTCCAGAGCTTGGATCCTGCTCTCGTACTGCCTCCTGCTGTCGGCCAGCCCCTCGCCGAGGTGGTCTAGACAGGAGGGGGCAAGGAGGAGGGCGGTGAGGGGTTTTCGGGGGGTGGGGGGGGCAGGGAGGGCGGTGAGGGAGGGCGGTGAGGGGCTGCGGAGGAGGGGTGGGGGGGTGTCAGGGAGGGCGGTGCGGGGCTGCGGAGGAGGGGTGGGGGGGTGTCAGGGAGGGCGGTGCGGGGCTGCGGAGGAGGGGTGGGGGGTGTCAGGGAGGGCAGTGAGAGGTTTGCAGGGGGGGTGTCAGGGAGGGCGGCGAGGGGCGGAGGAGGAGGGGTGGGGGGCGGGGGCAGGGAGGGCGGTGCCTGGCGCCTCACCTCGGCTCTGCTGGAGGAGGAGCTGGATGCTCTGCTCGTGCTCCTTCTGCTGCAGGGTGAGCTGGCGGTCCATCTCCAGCCGCTGCCGCTCCAGGGCCGCCTCCAGCCAGTACACCAGCCTCTGCTGCTCCTCCAGCTGCATCTCCAGCTCCGAGAAGGCAATCTGCTGCTGGTGCTGCTCCTCGCGGAGCGTCACCACCTGTCCCCAAGACCCAGCCGGGCTCAGCCCCCGACCGATCGTGCCCGCCCGGGGCTGCAGGTGCCCGGCCAACCCGCCCACCGCCCCCACACAGATGTCACTAAGGAATCACCAGGCCGTCCTGCGGAGCCAAGACCTGGCCACACACACCTTCTGGAGAGTGTTCTAGGCAGTGATTTCCAAACGACAGGTCAGCTGACAAGAGGAAGCTTCCCTTCTGCCCCTGCCTCACGCTCCCCCGGAACCCCATGCTCCCCTGGAGCCCCACGCTCCTAAGCCCCCAGGCAGAGCCCCGCTGAGGCCGGATGCCCAGTCCCGGCGCTACTGCTGCTTTAGGCAGAGGGCCTGTGGCTGTGGGGACCCTGCCTGCGTGCTGGAGGCTCAGCGTCCCTGGTCTCGTGGCCAGATGTCCCCTGGGGGCAAAACCATCCCTGCTGAGAACCACTGATCTGGGTACATGAAAGGGGCCAAGAGACCGGAAAGTGGGGGGGAGAGGAGACCGGAAAGTGGGGGGGAGAGGAGACCGGAAAGTGGGGGGGAGAGGAGACTGGAAAGTGGCGGGAGTGGAGGGAGACCAGATCTTAGTGTCACTAGGAAAGTTAAGCTTTAAGGAAGAGAGTCTGAGGCAGCCCTGGAGACTGGAGCTGGCCCCAATTCTGGCCCCGCATCTGGGAGGAAACTGCCCTCCCTGGAGCTCCCAGTGGACCCCTCCCCCATACGAGTAGGGAGGCGTGGGGGGAGGGAGGTGGCAGAGTGCCTCTGAAGCGGTGACCCACCTTGTCAAAATACTTGCAGAGTAGGGCTCTGGTCTCCGAGGACGAGAGGTAGCTGAGCTTGGCCATGAGGTTCATCTCACACTGGGACAGCAAGGAGGCCGAGGCCCGTAACACCCGCTGGCGGCACGTGATGGCCTCGTTCTTGTACTCGATGGCAGCATCCAGGGCCTCGATGGCCTCGTCCAGCTGGAACAGCGTCCGCTCCTCCTGCGGGACATGGGGGGGTGGGGGGCTGGGCGTAGAGGAGGGGGGCCCGGGAGCCCGCGCCACGCACACCCACTCCCTGGACGACGGCCTTGGGCAGCCAGCCCCAGCCACAAGGGAGACGCCATGTCGCCTCATCCTGAGTGCAGTCAGCACATCCAAAGTGTCCCTGATGGGTATGGCAGGGACGGGAAGCTGCCATCACAGCCCCGGCCCCAGGGCGAGGCCAGGCTCTGCTAACAGGCCGCTCTGTGCGGCGCTGCTGCCTCCGTGTGCCCCCCCCCCCCCCCCCCGTGTGCCCTCCCGCTGCCTGTCGTGTGATCTACAGCAGGAAGCACGGAGCTCCCGGTGCCAAAGGGAGGGCATGGCGGGTCTGCTGCGGGCACCAGAGGGCGCGCTGGGGTGAGTTTGTCGCAACAAGGCTCTCCGAGGCTCAGGGACTGGCCACGAGGCGCGGGGACGAGCTGCCACGCTCGTTCTCACACAGGGAGCCAAGGCGCGGACACGTGGGCGGACACGGCGCGGTACGCACCCCCGATCCTGCCGCGGAGCTTACCTCGGGCGACAGCAGGCTACCCCGCCGCAGCTTGCCATCGATGTCCAGGCGCTGCTTCAGCAGCGAGTCCTTCTCCTGGCGCAGGGCGTCGATCTCCCCGCGGAGCCGCTGCTGGCTCTGGGCGCTGCCCTGCCGCAGCTGCCCGCTCTTCTCCGACAGCTCCTTCTCCAGGTGCTCCAGCCGGCTGGACACTCGCACGATGTCCTCACTGAGGGCCTGGGGGGCGGTGGCGGCGCCGGGGCTCAGGGCGGGGGCAGCCCCAGCCTCCCCGGGGTCACAGGAGCCGCCCAGCCACGCGATGCTAAGAGTACTGACTGCGGGCCTTCCCTCAGGAGCCCTGCAATCTGGGAGCGCTGCTCGCCGGGCGGGCCTGGCTCTCCGCTCTGCGGCAGCTCGGCCGCTGGCACTAAAGCCTCTGCGGAGGTGGGGGGGGAGGTGGGGGGAGGGGTGGGGGGAGGGGTGGGGGGCCAGAAGGATCCTGACAAGCACCGGAAAAGGCACTCCTGGCAAAAAGGGGGCAGCGCCAGACGATCCAGCAGCACCCTGAACCCTGCGGGCACCGAGCCTGGACGCCTGCTCCGGGCAGGGCTCTGGGCTTTGTGTCTGACACCGGCCGCCCTTCCCACCCTCACGGCAACACTGTGACTCCACTTGACCGCAGGGGCCACTGGCTCAGAAGCTCCTTACTCGAGAGGACGGAGTAACGCAGGGGGGACAGTACTGCTCAGCAGGGAGGCCGCCATCTGCCCCTGTCTGTCAGCCTCCAATGCCTGTGAGGCCTGGTTCTCCGTGGCCACCCGCCTCGCTACACTGCCTGCCATTCCTTGTTCTGCCTGCACCGCCCAGAGCAGGCGAAGTGGGTGAAACGAAGGGCGGGATGCGTAGCCGGGGAGGGTCTCCCACCTGCGCGTCAGAACCGGCATGGTACAGACCCTGATGTCCCAGGTTCCCGAGGGATCCACAGGCTACACCCCGGAAGGACAGAACTTGACGCAGCTGGGACTTAGCCGGCAAGGACATCACCCGCAGGAACCTCCCCCGTCTAGCTGCCCCCCGGCAAGGCTGTCATCTGGAGGGATTCAACCAGAAGGGGCCGCCTGATAGACTCTCACAAACCCCGCCGGCCGGGCCGCCCCTGGAGCGGCGGCGGGCCCTCACCTGGCTGGACCGCAGGCGCTTGCTCTCCAGCCCCGTCTTCTCCTGCATCAGGGCCTCCTTCTTGGCCAGGATGGCCTCCCGCTTGCGGAGCTCCTCCCCCAGCTCCTCCAGCGCCCGCCGCTGCTGCAGGACCTTCTCCATCTCCTGGTCCAGCCACTTCTTCTGCTCCTCGATCTTCTGACGGGGGTGGGGGAGCGGGGAGGGAACGCAGCTCTCAGCCCGGCAGCCGCAGGGGTGGGGGGCGGGGAGGGAACTCAGCTCTCACCCCTGGCCGAATGGGCTGCCGCAGGGGTGGGGGGAGGGGAGGGAGAATAGTGCCCCCCCTGCCGCACTCACCCCCTCACCCCACCCCCCACCCCAGGGACACCCGGCCCCACCTGCTGCTGCTCCAGGCTGATGACGGAGCCGTTGCTGCCGCTGCGCCGCTTCCTCTGGAACGCCGCGATCTCTTCCGTCTTGATCTTCAGGATCTTTTGCTGCTGCTAGTGCCTCCGCTCCAGCTCCTGGGGACGCACCAGGCGGGCGGCTCAGGGGCAGAGCCCTGGCGGGGGGCGGGGGGCGGGGCGGGTCTCCCCAGAGGCCCTCCGGAGCCGGCCACGCGCCCACCGGTCCCCACCCCTCCCCCGGCTCGCGGGCGCCGCTCACAGGTCACGCGGAGAGGCGGGCGGGGGGCGGGGGTCCTGCCCACCCACCTGGACGCGGTGCTGCCGCTTGTTCATCTCCGTCTCCAGGCGCCGCTTCTGCTCCGTCTCCTGGCGCAGCCGCCGCTGCAGCTGTCCCTGCTGCTGCCGCATGAGCTGCACGTGCCTCTCGAGCTCGCGCAGCCGCTTCTCGCTCTGCGCCGACAGCGACGCCAGCCGCTCGGTCGCCTGCTTCTTCTCCCTCAGCACCTGGGCCGACACAGCCTCAGCTGGGCCACCACAAGAGGGCGCCACTCAACGGGGCGGGCCCAAAGGACGACGATGGGAGAGGGGGGCGCACAGAGGGGAAAACAGGCCAGTGGGTAACGGACTCGTGACCGCAAATGATGGCAGCCACTGGACCATTTGCTCTGAGCCCGGCACACATCTAGGGTTCTGCGTGTAGCAAATAGGAAGAAGCCATGGAAAAAAAGGGATGACCAGTATCCCTACTTCGCAGACTAGAAAACTGAGGCACAGAGAGCTCAGGAAACTTGACCAAGGACACACAGCTAGTAAATGGCAGGGCTGGGATTCAAATCCAAGGAGTCAGACTCCAGAGTCCGTGCTCTTGACCATGCTACGGAACTGTCTCAGCTGAGCTGGGGAAGGAAGGACGGACGGACGGACGGAAGGAAGGACAGCTGTAAAGGCGGGCGGATGGAAGGGTGGGTGAATAGATGGGTAGGATCATACAAGGGTGGAAAACAGGAAGGGGCACCTGGGCGGCTCAGTCAGTTAAACGTCCAACTTTGGCTCAGGTCATGATCTCAATAGTTCATGAGATGGAGCCCTGCATCGGGCTCTGTGCTGGCAGTGCAGAGCCTGCTTGGGATTCTCTCTCTCTCCCTCTCCGCCCCTCCTCCAGTCACACTTTCTCAAATAAATAAATCTTAACAACAACAAAATACAGATAGTGCATGGATCAATAAAAGGCAATAGAAGGCAAACGGAGAGATGGATCAACAGTCAGGTCACCTCAACTGATAAAATGTGTTGGGGAAGGTCATCGAAAGGAGGTGAGCGCCAGTTGATGCAGGACCTGGACCCATGTGATCAGGGCCTCCTCGCCCCCTTCCCTGTGCCTGGAATGTGGTTCACACTTGACTTTCCCGCTCCCAGGGGCGACTCCAAGGACACGGCCTTGAGACGGTGACGTGCCGAGAAACTGGACGGCACACACGACTGACCTCACGTAAGGCCCCTTTATAAACTTGTAAGATGCAGCAGGTGGGCCTGGGGACCCACTCATGCTGCCGCCGCCCAGGACAAGCCTCGTAAATCAATTCCCTTCGCTGGCTGAATCTGCCACTTTGCAGCGTGGGGCGGCTGTCTCTCTCCGTTCTCTCCCCGCCATCCGCATGCGGGCACCGGCTTCAAGTTCCGTCGGGAAGCTTGCAAGCAGATTGCCACGGAAGCAGCGGGCCTCAGGAAAAAGGCATCAGAGAGGAAATCCTGAGCTGGCCAGACCTCCGCGTGGGGAGAGGCGGCCCCTCTGTCAGGCGCTATGTTGGCCGCAGGAGCATGGAAAACACTGGCTGATTTTGGGGCTGGGTGGAGAAACTGCACAGCACACTGGGGCAAAGAGGGAAAAGGTAAGGCTATTCTGCTGCCTGCTGGGCTGGCGTCCGGAGAGTGGGCCGAAGACCTCGTAAAGCTATGAGGGCCCAAGACGCCTCTCACTGACATCCAGGCCCTGCGGACAAAGCCTGATTCAGATGCTAAGAGGTGGAGTCCTGAGAAGGCGAGAACGAAGCGTGGGAACTGAGGAGGAAACAAAGTGCCCCGTGTCTTCCGACCCCTGACACAAAGGAAAAATTTCTCTTATTTATGTTGTTTTGAGAGAGCATGAGCGTGTGAGCTGGGGAGGGGCAGAGAGAGAAGGGGAGAGAGAATCCCAGGCAGGCTCCACGCTGTCAGCACAGAGCCCTACGCAGGGCTCAATCCCAAGAACCGGGAGATCATGACCTGAGCCGAGATCAAGAGTCAGACACTCAACCAACTGAGCCCCCCAGGCGCCTCACAAAGGAAAACTTTCAATAGCAATTACCCAAATCTCCTTGAAGAAAACTTGCCTGTTCTCTCTGTCCCTTGAACTTGTAGATCTTAGCACGTCTTTGAAACATAAACACCCCAGGATATGACCAAACCATTGGCCACAGAGACTGAAGAAGGCAAAGTGGGGGGTAGGGAGAAGAGCTTTTAAAATACAGACTGCTGGGACACCTGGGCGGCTCAGTCGGTTGAGCATCTGACTTCAACTCAGGTCATGATCTCACGGTTCTGGAGTTCGAGCCCTGCGTCAGGCTTTGCGCGGACAGTGTGGAGCCTACTTTAGATTCTCTGTCTCCCCCTCTCTCTGCTCCTCCCCGCTTTCACTCCCTTTCAAAAACAGACATACATTTAAAAAATTAAAATAAAATGCAATAAAGTACAGACTGCTGTAGGAGTTCCCTTGTCCGAAATCCAGCCCACAGCCTCCGAAAGATCACAAGCGTCAGTAAAAGCTTCAGCCATGTGAGCGGGCTGGTTCATGGCCGGAGCACTGAAATGAAAGCTGAGAAAGTTGCAGAAGGGATGGGAGAAGATGGCTGAGGAGGAAGACTAAGCTCACCTCGTCTCACAGATACAACTAGGTAACACTCACATTGGAGCAGAAACCCAGAAACCCACCTGAGGACAGGAAGAACAAACCACAGACTAAATGCAGAGAAGAGGCCCGTGGGAGAGGGGGGAAGGGCAGAGACACGGTGGGGAGCTAGACCACCACAGGACCATCCACGGGAGGGAGGGACACCAAGGAAGTGGAGAAGAGAGAGAAACAGACCCTCACACCAGGGCACCTGCACGGGGAAGATGAATCACCATAGCATTTGGCTTTGAAAACCAGAGGGGCCAAATTTCAAGAGTTCTTAAAAGTAGCGGGACTTACAGGCAGAGAAGGACAAATATATGTTTGCACATATAGGAGGATTAGGAGGAACTTAATGGAGGACCGTGGGGGAGAAGAAAGGGGAAAATAGTTGGGGAGAGGGAGAGAGGCAAACCATGAGAGACTCTTGAGTGCTGAGAACAAACTGAGGACTGATGGGTGTGGGGGGGGAGGGGGGAGATGGGCATGGAGGAGGGCACTGTGGGGATGAGCACTGGGTGTTTTATGGAAACCAACTTGACAATAAACTATTTGTTAAAAAAAAAAAAAAAAGGTAGCAGGACTTAAGCATCCAACTCCTGATTTCGGGTCAGGTTGTGATCTCACGGTCATGAGGTTGAGCCTTATGTAAGGCTCTGCGCTGAGCATGGAGCCTGCTTAAGATTCCCTCACTCTCCCCCCTCTGCCCTTTCTGCTTCATTCACTCCATTTCTTTCTTGCTGTCAAAAAACAAAAACAAAAACAACTTAGAACTTTAAAAACTCAGAGGGCTCAGCTCTGGGAGGGCCCAGAGGGCAACAGGAAGTGGAGTCCTACCCTTGAAGAGGCAGCACAACACACAAGGGTCGGAGATACAGACAGAAGCAGGAGTTTGAAAAATGCCCAGGGCACATGGGAGGGAGGGTCATTTATTAATCTGGAGGGACAGAGCTCCCTGGGGGACTCCTCCACGGACAGAGGAGTTGGCAGGTGCCATGGCCACCCATGCCCCCAGCGTCATCTACACACAGCCACCTGCGGGCAGTGCACTCGCTACCTTACTTCCCTGAGCCTCGTCCCACGGCGCTCAGGCGGGTCTGCCGCCTCCAGGCAGACCTGCCTCGGTCCCAGCAAGGCAGGATGCCTCCCCCAGAAGACGGCACAAGCCTTGCGAACACCATGTGCCGCGCGCTTTGCAGATCAGCCTCCTCTGACCCCGTGGTGGCTCCTGGCCATAGCGGCAGGAGGTCCCCTCTCACGAGAAGACAGCTTGCAAACCCTGCTGACGGCAGGTGCCCTGCCCCTGTGCACGTTACAGATCCATCCCCTCTAACACACTCTTGGCCAGAGCCCGTCCAACCCGGGCCACAGCCTGGCAGTGTGTGAGCAGCCCTGACAGACCCCAGCACCACTCCAAAGTGACTCCCGCCGAAGGGAGAGGGGATGACAATGACACTAGTCAGACTGCGGCGCCGGCAGCAGGCTGGGGGCAGACAGCCTGCCCCCCTGCAGGCCGTGCGCGTCAACCAAAGCTTCTCCAGGGGAAGCACAGGGAAAGGGCCTGCCGTTCGGTGCTGCCAGATTGCCAGCACCAGTCTGTTGCTGCAAACCCCTAACCAGATGCAGCTCACACCAGACTGGCCCCAGACTGGCCCACTAACAGCACAGGCACCAAACTCTGCCCACCACAGGCAAAGAGAGCCACTCCAGACGACAGGATGGGTGGTGAAAGCAGCCACAACACTTGGGTGCACACAACACACATGTGAGAGATTTCTGAAGCACCAGGTTCTGGTGAACAGGGGACACTGCGCTGCAGGACCTCCTCCTCCTAAGGCCACACTTTCTAGAACAGGAGATGTAGTGGACTTTCCTAACACACAAAAACCGACCCAGAGTTAGACAAAATGAGGAGACAGAGGAATATGTCCCAAATGAAAGAACGGGACAAAATCACAAGAGACCTAAACAAAACAGAAATAAGTAATATGACTGAGAGAGGATTTAAAGGGGTGCCTGGGGGGCTCAGTTGGTTAAGCCTCCAACTTCAGCTCAGGTCATGATCCCATGGTTCATGGGTTCGAGCCCTGCATTGGGCTCTGATAACTCGGAGCCTGGAGCCTGCTTTGGATACTGTGTATCCCTCTCTCTCGGCCTCCCCCCCCCCCCCAGTCTCTCTCTCTCAAAAATAAATAAAAATTTAAAAAGTAAAGTAACAGTCATAAAGATACTCATTGGACTTGAGAAAAGAGTGGAGGACATCAAGGAGACCCCTGATGTCCTGAACAAAGAGACAGAAAACATAAAAAAGAACCAATCAGAAAAGAAGAACACAATAAATGAAATTAAAAGGACACTAGAGGGAATAAATAGCAGACTAGAAGCAGCAAAGAATGGATGAGGACAGAGTAACAGAAAGTAGTCAAGCTGAGCAGGTGAGAAAAAAACTATGCAAAATGAAAACAGATTTAGAGAACTCAGCAATTCCATCCAGGGTAATAACCTTTGCATTATAAGAATCCCAGAAAGAGAGAGAGAGAGAGAGAGAAAAGGGCAGAAAATTTACTTCAGGACATAATACCTGAAAAGTTCCTGAACCTGGGGAAGGAAACAGATATCCAGATCCAGAGGCATAGACATCACCCAATAAAATCACTCCAAGGAGGCCCACAACAAGACACTTAGTAATTAAAATGGCAAAAAGTAGTGATGGAGAACTTTAAAAGCATCAAGAGAAAACAGTTACATACAAGGGAAAGCCCCTAAGACTACCAGCTGATTTTTCAGCAAAAACTTTGCAGGCCAGAAGGGAATGGCATTCACAGGACTGACAGGAAAAATCTGCAGCCAAGAATACCCAGTAAGGCCATCATTCAGAATAGGAGGAGAGAGAAAGCATTTCCCAAACTGGACCACTTTCTTACACCATACACAAAAATAAACTTAAAATGGATTAAGGACCTAATCTGAGACCTGAAACCATAAAAGTCCTAGAAGAGAGCACAGGCAGTAACTTCTCTGACATCAGATATAGCAACTTCTTTCTAGATAGGTCCCCTGAGGCAAGGGAAACAGAAGCAAAAATAAACTTGGCATTTCATAAAAATAAAAAGCTTCTGCAAAGCAAACAATAAAACTAAGGGACAACCTATGGAATGGGAGAAGATATTTGCATATGACATATACAATAAAAAGTATCCAAAATACATGAAGAACTTAATCCAACTCAACAACAACAACAAAAATAGTCCAATCAAAAATGGGCGGAAGACATGAACAAACGTTCTCCAAACATGCAGATGGCTGCCGGGAGCCACACCAGCCTCCCTGGATGGCAGTCACAGCAAGGAAATGGCAGCGTTTACACAGCTCCAGCCATGAGAAATGAAAACTGGTATCTCCTGCTACTACTGGCTCATGTTGTGCTGCTATTGATCAGGCCTCACAATATTCCATATCAGACCAATATTCTGAACACAGATACCTCATAAGGAAAAGCATATTCCTGCCTTTGCAAGAGAGATTTTGGATGAAAGCTCTATGGATGATTGTCAAAAGGCTCTTCCTATGGGCCTTGCAGATCCAAGACTTAGGGGGTTAAGAACACAAGAGTTACAATTGAGCCTGGCCCTGAGACAAAGAGCCTATTTCAGGGCAGAACATAGTTACTACATATATCTTTGCTAATTGGTGAAGCATAGCAGTCCCTTCCTCCAGGTCTACATTCCACAAACACCCTCCCTTATACTGGCAGCTGGGACGAGGATAGATAAGAGTAGCTAAAACATAAACCCAGGTGCAAAACGGACACATTTAGGGCCCCCATGATGGTTTCCACACACAAACCAATTCAGAAACATTCATCCTCTCGAGAGCCAGACAGAATGACTCCTAGCTTATCTATATACAACTTAACCTAGATATTATCCTGTTTTTCACTAAGAACATCTTGTTAATTCCTTGGTTGTAAATTCACTATGACTGGGAATAGTTCTGCAGAATATCAAAAACTTGTTATCGCAAAAGGCCTCCCATTGTAGAAATTCCTTTCTCTGACTTCATGTTGTTGCTGAACCTTTAAATAAAGACACCAAATCCGACAGGACAGAGATGCCTGCCTGGTGATCAGAAAGAATCTCGGGGCTCTCTCACTCTCTCTCGCCGACACCGTCCATCCTTCAGGGACCCCTGGACCTGTCGGAGCCGGCGCGGCCTCTGACAGATGGCCAACAGACACGTGAAAAGATACTCAACATAACTCATCATCAAGGAAACACAAATCAAAACCACAATGAGATATCACCTCACACCTGTCAGAATGGCTAGAAGTAAAAAGAAAAAATAACAAGTGTTGGTGAGCATAGAGGGAAAAAGGAACCCTCATCACTATTGGTGGGAATGCAAATTGGTGAAATCACTGGGGAAAACAGTATGGAGGTTCTTCAAAACATTAAAACTAGAATTACCATATGACCTAGTAATCACACTAGGCGTTTACCCAAAGAAAATGAAAACACTAGTTTGAAAGGATATAAGCACCTTATGTTTACTGTAGAATAACTTACAATAGCCAAGATATGGAAACAATCTGCATCCATCAATAGATGAATGGATAAAGATGTGGTATACACACACACACACACAATGGAATATCACTCAGCCCCCCAAAAGGATGAGATCTCGCCATTTGCAATAACAAGGATAGACTTAGACAGTATTATGCTAAGAAAAATATGAGAAAGACAAACACTGTATCATTTTGCTTATATGTGGAATGTAAAGAACAAATGAACAAAGAGCACAAACACACCCATAAATACAGAGAACTCATGGTGGCCGGAGGGGAAGGGGGCAGCATGGGTGAAGTGGAGAGGGAGGTACAGGCTTCCAGTTATGGAATAAATAACTCATGGGACAAGGCACAGCACAGGGAATAAAGTCCATGGCATTGTAACACTGTGTGGTGACCGATGGTAGCTGCAGCATTAGTACACACTTGATGCATCAGTACTTTGTGCACCTGAAACTAACATATGCATCAACTATACTTGAAGAAAAGCTCCCCAAAACCCAGGGGGTTACATTATTAACAGATAAAGCGACTCTGATGGAGAACTAAAGTACTGCCCCAGGTTTCATACATCTGAGTGATCAACCAGTAGAGTCTGTGGCCCCATATGCCAGACTGGGGCCCCTTGGTAAGGCACCCAATCTCATCAAGGTATGGAAGTCATGGGCAACAGCCACGGTCTCAACTCTCACCATGGAGCCACGTGCAGTGCTGCTGAGAACACCAACCCCCACCACGCCTGGGAAAGGGATGGTCTACTGGAACTTGCCATGGGGTGTCCCATCAAGACAACCAGGTGAGAGGGAACTACTCAAGTCTCCATGGGACCCTGTTGGCCTGCTACAAGCTGGACCTGGTGAAATGCACTATGTGTGGAAAGGTACACGTGTCACTGGGAGAGGGAGGAAGAGGGGTTCCTGGTTGGGCACATCTCCCCGGCCATCTCTGCACGCCTGGCAGTGCTCCCGCCCCCAGCCGACATGTATGGCTTGCACAACCAGGCCAATATCCTAAGGCTGCTAACTTCCCTCTCCTCAAGGCCAGGTGGACACTGTTTTCCAAGAGTACCATCATTTGGCCGCCATCTTGGTTCTCTCCACTGGGCTGGAGGACAGTCCGCACACATAGAAGCCCTTACTAAATTCACCCAGCAAGCTTAAATGATAGCCAAAAAAGCCTGTCCTCACTCATCACTAAAAGGTTTCTGACGAGAACAGCTTTCTTCCAAAATAGGATGGCTTTGGATATTATTACTATGCCACAGGGAGGTACCTGTGCTGTTATCAAGACAGAATGTGGTGTGTTCATACCTGACAAGGCGGCTAACGTGTGATCTTTATTAAATCCAGTTGATCCATGAGCTGGACCCGGGTGATCAAAGGCTCCTCTCTCCCTCCCCTCCCGCCCCTCCCCTTGGAACATGGGTTCCACCTGCCTTTCCCAGTCCCTGAGGCGGCTCCAAGGACACGACCTTGAGGTAGTGATGTGGCGCTGAGAACACTGCATGGGACACACTACTGAGCGCAGTTACGGGATATTCGCGAACTTTTGAGATGTGGTGCGTGGGCGCAGAATCCACGCCTCCTGCTGCCGCCCAGGACAAGCCTCGTCTGCAAGCTCTCTTGCTTAGTAACCTTCCTACCTGGCACGGCTGCCTCCTTCTTTGGTCCCTCCCTGCCCTCTGCATGCGGGGACCCGGTCCAGGTTACACCGGGGAAGCTCTAGAGGCGGTTACGAACCAACCAAGCATGACAGACAGGTGTTCAAGCTAGACAGACTGACGGACTGAAGGGTAGAAAGGCAGTGAAGACAAGATGGAGACAGAAGCGGCCGGGGAGCTGGGAGGGGAGGGCTGCACCAGGAGGGGGTAGCTTGCTTTCGACGTCCACCCTTCCCCCCCCCACCACTGGTCTCCAGGCAGCACTGGCCTCCCTGCCTCCGCCGTGTTTACGGCTGAGCCCCCCACCCCCCAGCTCTGTCGACATCTATGTAACACCAGCCTCACCCCGGGAAGCCGGTCACCAAACCAGCCAGGGGCTGGGCCACGGGGGCCCGAGCACCCACAGGCGCCCGTGAACCTGGGCCCCGGGGCCCACGTGGCTTGATCCCAGGACCCCAGCCACTGCCCCCGGGACTCCCACACTGACCTGCACCTGGCTCTGGGCGACAGCGACCCTCTTGCGGAACTCTTGGAGCTGGGACCGCTCGCCGGCGTCCTGGGGCTCCCGGCCCTCCAGCTCCCGCAGCTGCCTCTGGCTTTCGCTCAGCTCGGCCCGCACCCGCTCTGCCTCCTGCTCCAGCTCCCGGATGTGCTGGCTGTGCTGGCGGTTCAGGGCCTGGGCCGCCTTCCCTGGAAGGAAGGGGGGGGATCATCAGCACAGGCGGTGCCTCTCCCCCACGGGGACCATCTCCTGCTGGAGGAGGCGTTCCGGACCTCTGCCAGCCATGCTCACCGCGTGGGTTTTGCCAAGCCTGGTACTGTGATTTACTCACCAGATTTTCCTTTCAACCACTCCCTTTTTAAGTTAGAATTAGCCTTCTCCATAAAGTGACCCACAGAAACTATGGGTCAAGCTGGCTTTAATTTTTTTAATGTTTATTTTTATGAGACAGAGAGAGAGAATGCACGTGCGTGTGCACGGGGGGTGAGGGGGCAGAGAGAGACAGAGGCTCCCAGCAGGCTCCACACCGTCAGCACAGAGCCTGACTCGGGACGCAAACTCACGAGACGTGAGATCACGATCTGAGCCGAGATCAAGAGTCAGAAGCTTCATCAGCTGAGCCACCCAGGCCACCCCTAAACTGGCTTTATTTTCACCTGATACCAACTAGCGAACACACAGGTTGGGCCTGCATATAATTAAGCCTCTAGAACTAACTCCCATTTGCAGGAAATCTGGAGAACAGAGAAACGAGGTGAGTAACTCCGCGAGGAAGCCAACGAGCGAGTCCTGAACACGAGGGGGTTGGGGCATGCTGCAAGGCCGTGAGGAGGCAGGAGAGAGACACCTAACGAGCACGGCGTGTGGAACACGTGTGGGGCTGCCCAGCAAGCCAGCTCTGCCGAAGAACTGAGGGAACGGGCTTGTCCTCTGGACACGAAGGTGACATCAAGCTTCGTTAGATGTGCTCATGGCATTTCGGGTAAAGTGTCCAGAAAGAGGCATCCTGAAAGGTGTGGGGGTGAACTGGCAAGATGCCTCGGATTTGCTTCAAAACACTTCAGCCAAGACAAAAGAGAGAAATGGAAGGGATGCGGAAGAACCTCGTAACGCTAAATCCGAGTGATGGGCGCGCGGGGCCCTGCTCTGCCAGCCTTCCTCCTCCTCTGCCTGAAATTCTTCATGATGCATATGTTTTAATGTTTATTTTTGAGGGAGACAGAGAGCACGAGCAGAGGAGGGGCAGAGAGAAAGAGAGAGAGAGAGAGGAAGACTCAGAATCCAAAGCAGGTGCTGAGCTGTCAGCAGAGCGCCCGACGTGGGGCTCGAACCCACGAACCGTGAGATCATGACCTGAGTTGCAGCCGGATACTCAACTGATGGAGCCACCCAGGCGCTCCTTCCTGATGTATTGTGTAATAAATACATAACCCTTCAAATAAAAAGGCTCAGCTGGTCACTACTGCAGATCGTCCCCTGCCTCTTTACGTGCGTCCCCAGTAGCAAATGTAGCATGATTTGGGGACACCATTTGCACCCTAGGGGTAAAGATTCTGTGCCCAGCGCAGTAACTAACACAGCAGGCAGCTGTTAAGTACAACTACCGCTACCACCAACAGGTACGCTTCCCGAGAACCAGTCTAAGTGCTTCCGCTGAATTAAGTCACTTCAACCACCCAAAAAGCAGGTGCAATTATTACCCCACTTTACAGAGAAGAAAACAGAGTCACAGAAAGGCTAATCTACTTGCTAAAGGTCATACAGCTGCAAGAGGCCGAGTTGGCCACCGCACTAAGCCATCCGCTCCCCGTCCCCAACCACCCTCAGGCGGGAGGCCACCCGAAAGCCCATCACCTCACCTGTGCGGACCAGCTCGCCAATGAGCTCCTCCTTCATGCGGATGTTGATGGCCAGCTCCCGGATCTTCTGTTGCGCTTGGGCCAGACGCCACTCAGAGGCCGTGGCAGCTGGGGTCTGGCGGGGTCGAGCCAGGGCCTTGCTCCCACCAACTCCTGTAACAAGCCCACTGTCAAGGCCACGGCCCCAAGGAACAGTGTGGGGGGGGGGGGTAGAGGAGGGGGGAAGGCACGCCCCGGGCAGGGGCAGCGAGGGATGATGTGTGCACCGTCTAGGACAGCCACTCTGGGACCGTGGAGGGGAAGGTCAGAGCCCTCTCTGCACCTGAGGCAGCTCACCTCTGGGCCCCGGGATGGCTGTACCCAGTTCTTCAAGGTGAAGCTCTGGGCCCTTGCCGTCGCGTGGGCTCCCTGGGCGGGCCCCCACACTCTGGCTCCACTTGCTGATGCCGTTTCTGGAAGACAGAGGCAGGAGTCTGTACCCCTCCTAGCCAGAGGGAGGAGAAGCCCCTGGGCCTTCTATCCGCTCAGGGTCAATGGAACCTCAGGGCGTCGGTCTGGCAGAACTAAGGCCAAGGGGCTGGGCTCAGGGGGCGACAGACTGCTGGGGGCCACTGAAGGCGCAGTGAAGGCTGGGAACCAGGAGGAGGCCGGAGGCCCCCCCACCCCCAGCATACTCACCCCACTGGTTCCCAGCCCGAAGTCCCCATCTGCTCTTCCCGGTGGGCCGGGGCAACGAGGTGAGGGCCCCTGAGACCACAGTGGGATCCCAGCCTGGGCCCCGAGGTGGGCGGGGCGGGGGGGGAGCACTCACCTGCGCAGGTGCAAGGGCCGCAGGGGCGGCTGCGCCTCCTCCCGCTCCTCCTCCCGCTCCTCCTCCTCGGACGCAGCTGAAGAGCAGCTTCCGGGCCTGTCAGCGTCTGCCGGCAGCTTGGCTCCAGCCTCTCTCCCATCTGTCACCTGGTTGGGGAGGCGCCAGAGTTTCGGGACAGGAAGCCCCCAGGGCACCGTCCACCAGCCGTTGCCCATCAGCAATCTTTGCCCGGCCCTGTGCCCGGTCCTGCCTGCCCTCCTCACAGCCCCGTCATCCCAAGTCAGAGGAGGAGCTTCCTCCTAAGCCCCCACCGGCCCCTCTCCTGTGGCTCTCACAGCACCTCGGACTCCATGGGTGACAATTTGCCCCATCTTTGTACATAGGTCATCTGCACCCAAGTCTTTTTTTTTTTTTTTTTTGGTCTTTATTTCTGAGAGAGAGGCAGCATGAGCAGGGGAGGGTCAGAGAGAGAGACACACACAGAATCGGAAGCAGGCTCCGAGCTGGCAGTCAGCACAGAGCCCGACACGGGGCTCGAACCCACGAACCGCGAGATCATGACCTGAGCCGAAGTCGGACGCTTAACCGACTGAGCCACCCAGGCGCTCCCATCTGCACCCAAGTCTTAGCTCACCAGCAGCGCCCTCCAGCGTGGTGGGTGTATCACAGACCCTGTCAAACTCACGCCCTCCCTCCTCAATGCCTTAGGCTTTTACACCTGAGATGACCCAGAGCTTTCGGGAAGAAAGAACTTCCTCTGTAACCGCCTCGCTCCAAAAGTCTCTAGCCAGCCCAGGGACGCCCAGTGGTACCAGACCCTTCTGAGCGGCCCTACGGAGTCACCTATATTTTGGCCCTTTCTCTCGGAGCACTGGAAAAGGGCATCTCACAGCTGGCCCCAGGAATGCCTGGGGGGAGGGGTGCATCCCCCGCCCGAGCCTGTCCAACAGACACCCGGGCTCACCACCGCCTCACCTCTCCCCTATTCTCAGGGCCAACTTCATCCCCAGGAAGGCAGACGGCGGGCACCATGCCTAGCACGTGGCTGTAGGCACCGCCGAGCGGGGCTGTGTGAGGCCGGGGTGCAAAGGAGCCGGGAGGCAGGCCCTGTAGGAGCCCTGGGGTCCCCCAGCCAGGCCGCACCAGTTCGAGCCGCAGCCGAAGCTCGGCCATCTCCTGCTGCTGCTCCCGAAGCCGGTCGCTCTGGAAGACAAGTTTCAGGTGCTGATGGGGGGTGGGCGTGGAGAGGGTGCAGGGGTGCTGACGGGCAGAAGTGGCGGCAGCCGAAGACCAGGGGCCGCCCCACCCTCTCTTGGCTAAAACTGAGAAGGGCCAGATACCTCTGACCACCTCTTGGTGCCCCGCCCCCTGCCGCCAATGCGCGCGCGCGCGCGCACACACTCGCTCACTGGTTGTTCGGGGTCAAGCTCTCACCCCACCCCCACTAGCTCCAGGTCAGTCCTCCGCCTTCATACCAAACACGGCCGCCAGAGGGCGCCACAAGCAACGCTGGCCCTGTTACCCTGGGACAACAGGGACCCGTCCCACCTCTCATCCAGGTTCACGGCCATCACGCCCAACCACCGGCACCATTCTCTTCTTCACCTCCACGCTTTTGCTCCGTTGTGCCTCCCCCATCTTGGCCCCCTACCCGAAGCCCACCGCGGCCAACTCCCTCTCCTCCCGGGAGACTTAGCTCAAGTTCACCTGGAGGAAGCCTGCTCCCACCTGCAGCTTGTACTGCTCCATTGCGTCCTCCAGGGCCGCCAGGAAGTCTCGGTTCTCCTCCTCCAGGCGGGCCACCTGGCTCTGCAGGGCGAGCAACTGCAGTGCCCCCCCATCTTCCTATGGGGCAAGGAGAGAGGCTTCAGGCGCCGGAGCTGGCAAGCCTGCGGGTCTCGTGGGCGCCCCAGCCCTCTCCCTGCCCTGCTAAGGGTTCCTCCCCTAGCCCAGCTTGCTACGCTGCTGCAAGCCCTGCCTGCGATGGAGGCTCCAGAGCCCACCCGGCCCCTCTGCAAGCTATTTGGGCCATCTCTTGAATTATTAATTATCCTTTTGTTAATAATAACGGCACCGCTGGGGCGCCTGGGTGGCTCAGTCGGTTAAGCGTTCGATTTCGGCTCAGGTCATGATCTCACGGTTTGTGGGTTCGAGCCCCGCCTCGGGCTCTGTGCTGACAGCTCAGAGCCTGGAGCCTGTTTCAGAGTCTGTATCTCCCTCTCTCTCTGACCCTCCCCTGCTCACGCTCTCTCTCTCTCTATCTCAGAAATAAATAAAAATAAAAAATAATAATAACGGCACCGCTATTATTAGGAACAACCTACTGAGGCTCCACCAGCCTGCCGTGCTAGGCACTTGGTACACCTTCGGCCCTTACATCATCCCCACGTTATCCCTCTTTCACAGAGAGAGACCATCGCGGGAGGATAAGGAACGTGATCAAGGTCATCAGAATTTGCCCCTGAATCCGGAATGTGCTCCGCTGATGGACGAGGGGCAGGGGCCCCGCTGGCTGCGCGAAGGCGTCTCCCTTCCCCGCTCCCTCCCTCCCCGGGGCCACACCTGGCCCTTGGCCACCTTCGGCCCGCCGGGCGCCTGCGCGGCCTGCTCCTCGGCGGGGGCGCTCTCGATGCCGCTGTCGGGCCCGGAGGCGGAGCTCAGGGCGCTGCGCTCGCCCTCGACGGCGCACAGCCAGTCGCGCACCTTGCGGGCGGCGGCGCCGGGCAGCCCGGGCTCGGCCTGCAGCTCGCGCAGGAGGCTGTAGGCGGCGTCGGTGCGGGCCCGGTAGCGCGCGCACTCTGCGCCCAGGCGGGCGGCGGCGGCGGCGGCGGCGGCGGCGGGGGCGGGGGCGGCAGGGGCGGGCCCGGGGGCGCGCCGGCCGCGGTGGATGATGCGCGTCTCCGAGCGGTGGCGCGGGGGTCCCCGCGCGCCGGCCGCCGCCTCCTCGGGCGCGCGCTCGGCCTCGGGCCGCCAGTTGACCGTGGCGCGGTTGCGGATGTTCTGCGCGCGGCTGGCGTAGTTGAGGGTGTTGAGGGTCTCGTCGAAGTCGGAGGAGGAGGGGCTGACGCAGGCGATCATCAGCGTCTTGGCGTTCCCACCCAGCGAGTCTTTGAGGATGCTTAGGACACCGGGTGGGGCGCGTCAGGGGCGCCCGAGCGCCGGGACGGGAGGCGCCCGCCCCCCTCCCCGGACCCCGATTCCGACACCTGGGACTGGTGCGCCCGGAAGCCAGAGGGGCCCCATCCCCTCCTCGCCTCCCGCCGGCCGCGGGGCCCTCACCGGGTGATCTTGGAGTCCCGGTAGGGGATGTGGCTGCTGCGGCGCTGGGGGTCGCCCAGGGCGCTGATGACGTTGCCCAGCGCCAGGAGGCTGCTGTTGATCTGGATGCTCTCCTTGAGCCGCTCGCCCGTGCTGCCCATCTTGAGCACCCGCTCCGAGCCCGCCAGGTCCACGAAGTGGAACTTGGAGACCAGCAGCTGGCCCGCGGGCGGCCGGGGCAGGCGGCTGGGGGCGCGCCCCCGCTGCTCCAGGGTCACCGTGAAGACGGTGTGTGAGCGGCTGGACAGGCGGTTGAGGTGCGTGGCGCCCGTGTGGCGCGCCGCGTTGCCCATCTCCAGCAGGCTCAGCACCTCGTCCAGGCCCTCCACGGCCACCTCCTTCACGCCACACAGCACTGAAGGCATGGAAGGCTGTGAGCCCAGGGCAGGGGCGGCCCGGTGCCCAACAGGCGGGGGTGGGGGAGGGCCCTGCCCATCCGGGCTCAGGCCTGAGGGGCTCCAGCTTGCTCTGGGCTCACCTCCATGCCTTGCACTCTGGGTTCAGAAGTATACACTGAACTCAGTGGAGGCAGGAGAAAGGAAGGCAAAACCTTCCAGAGCTTGGGTTTCCCAGTTAGGAGGTACCCTTCCCGGACAGGTGAGCCACCCCTCAGCAGGTGAAGCCTCCTCAAGCCAAGTGCCCGACTCCAGTTCCTCACCAACATTTCCGCGGTCGTCTTCCCGAAGCTGGATGTCACGGCTGGCGGTGCCTACCTCCAGCAGGTCTCGGAACTCCTCCTTATACACTTCCAGATAGGACACGTGCACCAGACAGTCAAGCAGGTCGTTCTCGTCGATCAGCTTGAAGGCCTCAGCCATGGCCCGTGGAATGACCCCCTGCTCGTCCTCGTGAAGAGAAGCTGCGGAGACACCGCAGAGCCTCCTGCCACCAGGCCTCATCCCACGTGGCTCAAGGCCTCAAGGCCCCAGCCAGCAGCTGGAGGACAGGGCTCCAGCATGAACATACCAGCAGAGGCCAGGAACGCTGGGTACCTGCGCCAGGCGGTGCTCCAACGTGGTCAGGCAGAACCATGGAATTTCAGGGTTGGAAGCAACCTCTCAAGGTTCAGCCAAGCCCTTTCATAATGTAATAAGCATCCCCCCCACTACATCCCAGCCAGATCATCAGATACCCTTGGCTTGATTACTCCCCGGGTCAGAGAACTCATTACTACAGTCTATGCTCATTTATCTAAAGGACCTCCTAAATTTATCCCAAGGAAGTAAGAGGGTGTTCAGAACAGCACTCTTGATAACTTCAAAAGAATGCAAACATCCTAAGTGTCCATTCTTAGATCCAATAGGAAATCTGGTTACATAAATTACCTTAGATACACAATGGAATGCCAAGCCACCATTAAAAAATTAGCCTGGAGGGGTGCCTGGGTGGCTCAGTCAGTTGAGTGTCTGACTTCAGCCCAGGTCATGATCTCTTGTGGGTTCACGCCCCACGTCAGGCTCTCTGCTGACAGCTCAGAGCCTGGAGCCTGCTTCGGATTCGGTGTGTGTCTCTCTCTCTGCCCCTCCCCTGCTCACACTCTCTCTCACTCTCAAAAATAAACACTAAAATTTTTGTAATTAGCTTGAATATTTAATGATGTAGAGACATGTATGATATATTGTTAAGAAAAAACAGGATACAAAAGAATGGGTACAGTATAATCCCATTTTTTGAAAGGTAAAATAATTTTCTCAGAGAAACTGGGATGGTAACAGGGTGAGTGATTTCTGAAAAGCAAGTACCAAAAGCTTGTGTTTCTTCTGTATTTTCCTAAGTTTCTAGGACACACATATTAACTCTTATAACCTAAGAGAGAGAACGTTTGTGCTCCTTAACATGGGGTCCTTCAAGCGGCCCAAAGCAGCTCTCCCGAAAGCCTGCTCCAGAGGCTCACGGGGAGCTGCCCGCCCCCTTGCCAGGCAGCGGCGAACGCTCGGCTCTTCCAGAACAATCCCCTCTCCAACTACTCTGATAGAACACAGATCCCTGACCCGTGGCCACCATCCTGACAACCTCCAGACACCAGCCCACTGGCCTCGCCCTTGCTCCTCCTGAGGTTGCCAGAACCGCACAGTGTGACCCCATCTCTGTGGAGGCAAAAAGGCTCCCAATGTCAAGGGCTCTTCCTCCCGCCCCAGGCAGCCTACTGGCATGGCCACTCTCACCCTGGGCTGCAGATCTGATTGGGAACCCAGATCTGCCCGCCTTCGACTGGGGAGCGGCCGCAGGAACGCAGGGGCAGAAGCTGGGGACGCTGCGCAAGGGCACGGGGCCCCAGGCAGGGTCACTCACCCACGCTGGCCTCCCCCATGGTGTACGTCTTCCCAGAGCCTGTCTGGCCGTAGGCAAAGACCGTGGCGTTGAAGCCCTCGAAGAAAGCCTCGAGGAGGGGCTGCACGCAGGCCTGGTACACAGCCTCCTGCCCCGTGTCCTCACCCAGCACCACGTGGAAGCCGAAGTGGCGATCTCGACCGAGGGTGACGCGGCTGTGCCCCGGCTCCACCCTCAGGCAGCTCTGGTGCCCGTGCAGCAGCTCCTTGGGCAGCAGCGGGCGGACCCTCAGGGCCACCCTCACCGGGGCCTCCTCGGCCCCCGGCAGCCTCTGGGCCTCCAGCCCCATGGCGAGGGAGGGCTGCTCCCGGTCCTGTAGAGAGAAGAAGAGGCCATCAGCACCTGCAGGTGACCCGGAGCCAGATCCTGGGGCTCCTGGCCTTGGAGAAATGGAAGAGAGGGTGCCTGGTGTCCCAATACTGCAAGGGCCACACACGATCCCACATAGTAACACTGCACGGCTCCCACCACTGGCAAAGTGCTTCCGTGTTGCAGCTGCACCCCTCCCCCTGTGACCCCATCTCCTAGAACACACACACACACACACACGCACACACCACCACCACCACATCAGGGAGCTCCTTCCCCCAATACCCACCTGACTTCAAAAACCTCAGATCCTTCGAGACCAAACGCCTACCACCAAATCTGCCAATTCCACGTCCTAAATATCTCTCAAGTGCACCTGCTTCTCGCCATCTCATCACCAAAGCCCCCATCCTGGCCACTGACATCTCAACAGGATGACGTTTACCAGCTTCCTCACTGTTCCGCCCCCCTGTGCCCTCCACCTCAGCAACCAGGGGCATCTTTCAAAACTGCAAATGCAACCATGTTACTGAAACTCTCCCAAGACGGGCTCCCCACTGGCCTGGACCTTCAAAACTGTAACAGCCCTGCCTGGTCTGCTCACCTCCTGCACCCCACCTTTGCTCACCTTTCTCTGCCTGCAACACACTCCGTGTTGCCCGAGGCTCGTCATCTCTCTGGTTCTGGACTGGCCCCCTCTTCCTCAAGGAGCCAGGGAAGAGCCTGCGCTCGGTGTCCGCACCCCTGCACACCCACAACGCCCAGTGATGCTCCCACCGGCCACTGGCCACTCTGTTGCAGACGGAGCTGGGAGGCAGGGATCCTGCGGCCTCCCTCCCTGCAGCATCTCCACCGCCCAGCACAAGGTCGGGCGCTCAGTGGCTGCCCAACAGTGATGATGAACCGCCGCCAAACAACTCTCCGCGTGCCCCTTCTCTTCTTTCACGGTCCACACCGCCTCCTACCCACCGGGCCCACAGCACTTGGATGGTCACTGCAGAATTTTTCTCAGCACATGTAACGGTTCGTTCGTTCCTTCACGCAATCCTCCAGTCCCTGCTGGGTGCCGGGCCCTGGGGACACCGCGGTAACTATCGCGCAATACAGTGGGCGCCTTGGCGCGCCCGGCACCCCGAGCTCTTCCAGCTCCCCGAGTACTCGGGGCCCAGTACTCCGCGCACCCAAGGCGCCGGGACAACTCCGCGGGTGCGGTCCGGCGCGGCAGGAGGCGGGCGCGCCACAGGAGCTCCTGGAGTGTGGAAAAGTGACTACAAACGCGGACCCGACTCTCCCAGCGTCTGCGCTCGCTCCTCCCGGCCAGGCCCGGGATGCTGGCCTCAGGCCCCCGACTTAGGGAAGGGGGTGCCCCCGCCCGCTCAGGGAGGGGCCTCCAGGAGGCTGGTATGCAAAGACAGAGGCTCCTCGTGCTGGGTCAGGGCTCCCCAAGTGCCGGCTCCCGCTGCCACCCGGCGCAGGCCTGCGCAGGGAGAGGGCGAGCGCGCGCCTCCCCCCACCCCACCCCACCTCGACCTCCACCCCTCTCGGGCCCACACCCACCTGCTCGGGGGGGAGCACAGTCCCCCAGCGGTGCACTCAGGCTCCGAGCCTCCGCGCGGCGCGCTCCGATGCCGTCATCGGGACCCCCGCCCCCCAAAACATCCCGCCCCTCACCCGCAACTCCGCCCGCCGGGGCGCTCGGGGGCGGAGGCGCGAGCCGGGCGGCGCCGTGGAGTCGGTCCGCAGACAGGGCGGGGTCGCGGCTGGAGGGGCGGGGATTGGGCGGAGCCTTGTCCGAGGGCGCCGGATTCCAGCGCTGACTTGCCGAATTCTGGGGTCCCAGCGACCACCAGGGCCGGCCTGATTCTCCCAGCTGGAGAGGCCCACCTGCTCATGGAGCGGGGCTCCTGAATCCGACCATGCAAGTTGCAACAGGTGAGAAGACGAAAACTAACTAGGAGACTTTTTCGCTCCGCGAGAGTAGAGTGGATTTTCCCACCATAGATGCTGTGTAACAGTGGACTAAAGATAAGCTACTATTTATTCATTAATTCATTCGTTCGGGTGCAGACTTTCTCTCCTCCCGCCATGATTAATTACCCCTCTATCCCAGCACTGCCGACGCCCCTTGAAAGCTCAGCATCTCTCTCCCTTCCCCATCCCCAGGAAGCCTCCGCCCCGCTTTTCTCCCTGATTTCAGCACCCCTTCTAAAGCTGAGAAGGACCCATCCCCCATGAGATTCTCGAGCTTGGGCTGGGGGCCCTCTCCACCCTGTGTGAACGGGCCCTGGCTGCACCCTCTGCACTCACACTAGAAAGAGCCTTGCTGGGCCCCTTGTCTGCCAAGAGCCAGAGTGACCCCGGTAAGGGGTGGATGGATGAAGCCGCCAGGGAGCTGCTATTTCACCTTCTAGAATGCCGGACAGAGAACAGGATGGAGCTGCCCACCCCCCTCCCGGGGCGCCTCACCCAGGACAGGCCGTGACAAGGCCTGGCCCCATGGCGCTGGCTTGTAAGCCCCCAGCTGTGATGAGCAGGGTGACCGCCCGTAGGCTTGCAGGCTGCACTGGCACCCAGTCGCTTGTGCTGGAGGTGAGGTTCCCTGTGGGGTCTTAGCCAACCTCTCCAGTTAGGGAGGTTATGCTGGGTGAACAGCTCGTGGCGGCCTTGCAGAGGGTCTGTTCATCCTGCATCTACCTGGGCAGGGGCTTCCCCTGGGCTCTGCCCCCAAATATCACTTCCAGTGTGCCCCCCACCATCCACCCCGTCACTCAAGCCGTCCTGGTCTTCATCTCTTCTGTCCACCACTGAGCCCTTACATCCCCTTCTCCGTAGCTTCCAGTCCAGGGAAAGCTCTTTGTCCTCTACGCCCTGGACCCCCAGCCACCACTGTCCCTCACCTGGACCCCTGCAGAGCCCCCTCACTGGTCTCCCTCCTGTCTCTGTAACACATGCCAATTATAATAATACTAATAGGGGACTCTGGGTTAAGCATCCGACTTCGGCTCAGGTCATGATCTCACGGTTTGTGAGTTCGAGCCCCATGTGGGGCTCTGTGCTGACAGCTCGAAGCCTGAAACCTGCTTTGGTTTCTGTGTCTCCCGCTCTCTCTGCTCCTCCCTCACTCCTTCTCTGTCTCTGTCTCAAAAACATAATAAACATGTTTTTAAAAAATTTAAAATAAATGAACATTAAAACATTTTTAAAAATAATAATAGAGTACAAAATATGAAGGAGGCAGGTAAGAACAGTCGATGTCTCGGAGGGTACCTTCCAACTCTTGTTCTCGATATGTCTTAGTCCATTCAGGCTAATAGAACAAAATGCCCCAAACTGGGCAGCTTATAAACCGCAAACACTTATCTCTCAAGTTCTGGGGGCTGGGAAGTCCAGGATCACGCCACTGGCAGATTCAGTGTCAGATGAGAGCCCACTTCCTGGATGCCCCAGAGGGCCCACGTCTGCCCTCACATGGCAGAAGAGACAAGCTAGCTCTCTGAGGTCTCTCCTATAAGGACACTGACCGCATTCACAAGGGCTCCGCTTTCATGACCTGACCACCTCCCAAAGTTCCCACCTTCAGTCCCATCATCTTGAGGGATAGGATTTCAACGTCTGAACTTGCAGGTGGACACACACATTCAGACTCTAGCCCTACGATATACAAGCACATACTTATATATTACATACACATATATGATACACATATTATCACTTGTCCACTTTACCTGCTAAACCGAGAGCTCCTTGAAAGGAGTGTGCCTTGGGGCGCCTGGGTGGCTCAGTCGGTTGAGCATCCAACTTCCACTCAGGTCATGATCTCACGGTTCGTGGGTTCGAGCCCCGCGTCGGGCTCTGTGCTGACAGCTCAGAGCCCGGAGCCTGTTTCAGATTCTGTATCTCCCTCTCTCTCTGACCCTCCCCTGCTCATGCTGCCTCTCTCTCTTTCTCAGAAATAAATAAAACATTAAAAAACATTTTTAATAAAAAAAAAAAGAAAGAAAGAAAGAAAGAGGGGCGCCTGGGTGGCTCAGTCAGTTGTGTCTGACTTCAGCTCAGGTCATGATCTCACAGTTCATGGGTTCGAGCCCCGCGTCGGGCTCTGTGCTGACAGCTAGTTCAGAGCCTGGAACCTGTTTTGGATTCTGTGTCTCCCCTTCTCTCTGACCCTCACCTGTTCACGCTGTCTCTCTCTCTCTCAGAAAAAAATAAAAGCATTTTAAAAAGAAAGAAAGAAAGGAGTGTGCCTTATTTACCTCTGTGCCCTTGTCCTCGGCCCCAGGCCTGACACCATCACTCTGTAGAAGTTTGTGGTAACAGTTATTGAAAAAAGGAAGGAAAACCTTTTTGCATTAGCAGAAATACGGGTCATGGTGGCTCGTGTTTTCCTCTTGCGGGCACAGAGTGGCAGAGAGGGCATAGGGCGCCTCTGGAGAATAAAGGATCATCCTCTTGATGACATCTTATGCTCAAGAAGTCAAGTCCCCCATCTGCATGCCAGGCAATCCCATCCTCAGCTCAGGGTCCCTTCTTTGGTCATCTCTGTTTTCCACTCTCAGTCCCGACCTTCCCCCCCCAACCAAAAAGAAACCCAGAAGAAACGTCTACCTCCCACATCAAAAAAAAACAAACAAAAAACGCTTCTTCAGTTCTAAGTTTTGCATTTTTCTCACATTTAACACTGTAGTCATTGCTGAGGGAAACTTGGCACCAGGAGATGTTCACGTGCCCCTGAAGGAGGCAGTGTCTTCACCTCTGTGACCTCTGATGGATGGATTGCATCAGGAGCATCGTGCATGGTTGAATTTTAATTAAAATCTAAAAACATATTTGTCCCTTTAAATGTCATTAGAAAGATGGAACTCTGATGTAGTAGTGAAACTGAATTTATTATGTCTGTAGAAGATTGTCTGTCCCAGGCAGGCAGTGTAATTAAAGGCTGCAGAAATTGCCAGGTCTCTTCAGAGAGATCTCTATTAGGAAGCCCTCAAGCTCGAAGAACGCAAATCACAACTTGAAGTGGCTTGAACAATAAGGCCGTTTGTTATCTCAGCTGAGACACAGTTGAGAGGGAGGAGGGCTCTGGGGCGGGCTGAGTCAGCGGCAGTGTGACAAAGGACCTACTAGCCTGTCCATTTCTCTGGCCATTATCACCTTCAACCATAAAAACGTTCAGAGGAGGAAGGCAGTGTTGTATCAAGAGGCACGCTCCTTGGATCAAGGGAACTTTTCCTAGGAGCCCTAAGAGCAGCTTCCCTCACATCCCATGTGCCAAACAGCTGAGGGCTGCCCCCCGGAAGTAGCCACCGGCAAAAGGGTGGGCTGACTATGATGGATTGGAATGTGTACATGAGTCTGCATGGTGCTGGAAGTGTGAGGGCCCCATCATTTTATATATCGACTTGACTGGGCCATGGGATGCCCAGATATTTGGCCAAACATTATTTTAGATGATTTTGTGAGGGCATTTTTGAGCGAGATTAACATATTAATTGGCGCACTTTGAGGAAAGCAGATCTCCCTTCCCAGTGTGGGTGGGCCCCGTCCAATCAGGTGAAGGCCTGAATAAAACCAAAAGGCTGACCCTGTCCCAAATAAGAGTTTTCCCGCCTGACTTTCCTTGCACTGAGACTTTGGCTTTTATCCTGCCTTCAGACTCAAACTGAGTTCTGAGCCTGCCAGCTCTTGGACTGGTCTAGAACTACACCATTGGCTCTCGGGCCTTCCCTTGAACAAACTTGGGCTTGCACTTGAACAAACCATTGGCTCTCCTGGGTCTCCAGCTTGCTGGCTCACCCTGTAGATCTCAGGACTCGCCAGCCTCCATGACTGTGTGAGTTAATTCCTGGTAATGAATCCCTCTCTCTGTGTGTATGTACACTTCCTGTTGGTATTTATTTATATATATACCACCAGACCTGTTGGGGCTGTTTCTTTGGAGAGCTCTAGGACAGGAGTCACTCTCTACCACATCCTAGATTTTTCAAAGATAAAGAGAGGCTGGTCAACGTATCATGAAGTCTCCCCATTGAGCCTCTATCCGTCAGAAGCGGCCAAAAGCTGTGGCACTTTCTGCGATATAGAATTCAAAATATAATTCGATATATGCAATAATGCGATAAAAATGCAAGCATTTGGGAAAAGTTGTGAAACCCCCGTGTTCTCGGATATGCTCTAGGGTTACACTGTTGGTCCCAAATATTCTAAAGCAGCCGGGGTCCTGAGCTCAAATGATATGGAGAAGCCTGTTACCACAGCGGTCAAAACAATTCATTTAGGGGCACATGGGTGGCTCAGTCAGTTGGGCGTTCAACTCCGGCTCTGGTCATGATCTTGTGGTTTGTGAGTTTGAGCCCCGCGTTGGGCTCTGTGCTGACAGCGTGGGGCCAGCTTCGGATGCTCTGTCCCGCCCTCTCTCACTGTCCCTCCCCCGCTTGCTGTCTGTTTGTCTGTCTCTCTCTCTCTCCTCTCAAAAATAAATATTAAAAAAAGATTCGTTCAGACTCTGAAAGTGAAGAAGCTGGAGACCAAACGTGGACCGTCATGCACGTAAATGTAACAAAGGTTGGTAATGATTGGTGAAATCATTCTCATGTTTCAGAGAAGGAGACTGCACAGGACGTTCTAACAGCACTGCTCACGTTCTGCCTCTTACATTGAGGGGTGGGCAGGGGAAGGGTCCGTCCTGTGCTGTGATTGGCAGCCGAGAGGGCGTTTCTCTCCGCACACCAGGCCTGGGGTCACTGCTCCAGCAGCTGGCCAGGGGAGCCCTGCCAGGGCCAGGCTGCATTCTATCTCTTTAGCCCGTCCTACTAGCCAATTTATTTATTTAAACATTTTTTACTGATAATCTTATTTTAATTTTGAGAGACAGACAGAGCATGAGCAGGAGAGGGGCAGAGAGAGAGGGAGACACAGAATCCGAAGCAGGCTCGGGGCTCTGAGCTGTCAGCAGAGAACCCAACGCGGGGCTCTGATCCACAAACCGTGAGATCGTGACCTGGGCTGAAGTCGGATACTTAACCCGCCGAGCCACCCAGGCGCCCCACATATCAGCTTATTTATAAGGGCTCCTCTTGCCAGATTGCATTCCCTCCCCAGGGAACTGCTGGAGGTGGTGCGGATTATACAGGTGGGGTGGGGTGCCCAAGCCTAGCTCAGAGTCCTGGCCGTGTCCACATGCGCACGTCCACCGGCTCCATTCTGGGCATCCTCGGATTCCAAAACCATGGATCAAGGCCAACGACTCATTACACCAAAGATCTGCCAGAAAGCTGGGCTCTCAGATGTGCAACAGAGTGGGGGCCGAGAGGGTGCTCACAGGTCAGGGGGGGGGACCTATGGGGAACGTATATATGGACATCCTAAAGGACTGAGAGAGGGGCACCTGGGTGGCTCAGTTGGTTAAGTGTCCGACTCTTAATTTCCGCTCAGATCATGATCTCACAGTTCATGAGTTTGAGCCCCACATTGGGCTCTGTGCTGAGAGAGAGGAGCTTGCTTGGGACTTTCTCTCTTACTCTCTCTGTGCCCCTCCCTTAGGGGCACACACACACACAGACACACACACTCTCTCTTTCTCTCTCAAAATAAATAAGTACACATTTAAAAGGACTGACAGCTGCAGATGACGATAACAAGAAAATCCGAGTTTGGTCTGGAAGGCTACTTAGCATCATCTAACAATATGTAAAATGCACATACTCTTTTACCCACCATGCCCCGGTTCCAAGTTATCAATGTCTCTGACAGATATGTCTATACATCAGCACAAAACATTCTGTATACAGACATTTATTGTAGCACTGTTTGCAAGAGCAAAAAAAAAATGGAAACAACTTAGAAGCCCATTATTAGGAAACTAGTTAAGCCAAAGACAGCACATCGGTGTCACGCAGCACTTACTAGGTGGCCATTAAAAAGAGCAAGGGGGATTTATGATAGGGATAGACAGGATCTCTCAGATGTCCTGTTACAGGCTAACATCCCACAGCTGTGTGAACAAAGCGGGGAGTGTGCAGGGTGGGCTTGCACACGCACAGCCTGTACCTGGAAGGATACACAAGAGACTGACAACACGGTGCTTTTTGTGAAGGAGAACTGGAGAACTCAGTGAGGAAGACACACCCCCTTTTGCAATATTTGAATTTTTTAGTTTTCTGTATGCCTTCCCTAGATTTACCAAATATGGACATTTTCAAAAACAGGGCTTGGAATGAGCTGTGGCGACAGAGGCCATACATATGGTCTATCCAGGTTAGACTTCAGCCAGGTGAAAGGTCACCATTGTCCCCCAGCGCTGGGACGGCAGCGTTCAAAAGGCCACGGAAGCGTGAACGCGCAGGTGGAAGGCTGCGAGCCAGAAGGTGGCGCTACAGCGCGCAGGCCGGGGCTCAGCCTGGGAAGAGTCCCAGGTGCTCAGGAACCGGAGGCTACTCTTTATAGAAACACACGACAGCCTTCGCACCTAACTGTTGCCCCCTTCAAAGCGGTCTGCGCAGAGCCTGGATACTCAGGGGAGGATCTCCGAGCTCAGGGCTTCAACGGATGTCAGAAACTCCTGCTTAAGATTTGTCTGCAGAGGCTGGATCTGCATTTTGGAAACAAATGCCCTTTGGCAACCAGTCTGGTTAAAGACGTGAGACATCAAGTCAGGCAATTAATCCTTTGGTAAAACAAACACAGGGCGTAGAATCAAAGCAAGCTGCTGCTCGGATGCTTCTTAAGAATAGGTTCTGACAGCTAGGCCCCGGAAGGGTGCTAAGAAGAAGGTGCGCGCCTCGGCAGCGCCGCGGGAGGAGGCTGGGGCTCCACTCGGAAGAAGTCAGCGCTCCCTTGGGAGTGCGGGCTCTGTGTCTTGGCTGGAGAGCCCGCCGGGGCCTCGCCGCCGCCGGTGCCAGGGGCGGGGGGTGGGGGGGTGGGGATGGGGGCAGGGACCGGGGGCCGGGGGCCCGGGCGGGGGCCGGGCGGGCGGACGCGCGCGGCTCAGCTCTTCTTGCGCAGTTGGCTGTACTGCGCGCGGCCCAGGATGGGCTCCATGACGCTGGGCCGGAAGAAGCTGTCGCTGACCCTGCGCGTGGGCTTCTCGCGGGGCACCGCCGGGAAGGCCGGGCGCGGCGCGGCGGGCGCGTCCGCCCTGTCCTCCGGCCCGGGACCCCCGAGGCTGCGCGCCGTCCGCAGGCTGCTGCGGGGCTGCGGGGGGCGCGGCGCGGCCTCCGCACCCGCGGGCGGCGCCCCAGACGCCCTGCGCTCCGCCTCCCGGCGCTCGGCCTCGGCGGGCGGGTTATCGATGTCCCGGAATTCGCTCTCGGGCTCCATCAGCGACAGCCTGGGGAGCTGAAGGCAGCCGTGTGAGGGCCCCGGCCTGGCCCTTGTCCCTGTGCCTCCCACCCACAGCTTCTCTGGGAGCGGCCTGGACGGGCGGGGGGGGGGGGGGGGGCACCGCCTAGGGTGTGGGACTGGGCAGTGCCCCGCCACACAGGCGGGAGGCGCAGGGGAGACCAATGATGTCTTGCCCTCTCCAGTGGTCTCCACGGGCCAGACGCTATGCAAGGCAGGCATCCCCTCCTCCCAAAGTTCCTGGACGCCTCGAGCCTCCCGCAGGGGTCCCTCGGTGGAAAGAGAGTGGCTTCCCCACCTCTCCTTGGGGAGGAGTTGTGCGCGCTTCGGCCCGGGGGAGGGTGCCCATGCCTGGCCCTAGCTGGGGCCCAGGGTGAGCACGCTGGCTGCCAGGACCCCTGGCCTGCCTCTCCAGAAGGGAGTGGCTCAGCACACCGGCCCCCAAGGCTTGCTAGGTCCGGGGGGCCTGGCGCCCTACTGGCAGCCCCGAGCTGGCACAACCTGTAACGGGCGCGCTCTGGGAAGGGGGCCCCCGGACGCCCAAAGAGACAGTCTTGGTGCTTCCTAGTTTTTTCCTATTGGCGATAGGTGCCAGGATGGGGGTGCAGCAGCCGCTGTGCCCTGGATCGTAGCCCAGCCCCCAGGCGCCCTGCACACCTCCCTCCAGCCCCTTCCCAGGAAGCAGCGCCTCCTCACTTGCTGAGGTGAGGGCTGGGCCACCCGCGACCCCGACTGATGGTCGGCAGGGGGGACATGGGGAAAGGTCTCTAGCTAGAGTCTCCGTCTCTATACTCTTGGGGGCTGGCAAGGGCCCCCAGTCAAGGCCGTCGTGGGTCACGATGTTCCTGGGGCCCTGAGGATCAGGAGCACCGCCAAGGAGACTGGGGACAGGAAGGCCACTGCAGCCGGGTCAGAGCTTCCCAGGCCCCTGGGGCGGGACTCACCGGCACGTAGTGCACCACCGTGTCCACCACGTTGTCAGTGACGCCCTTCAGGGCGTCCGACAGGGACATGGCCCTCCCCTTGCTGGAGGAGACAGCGGGGGCCGGGCCGAGGTGCAGCAGCCTGGCTGCCGAGCTCAGCACGGCCACGGGCGCCCACGTCACGGCTGACACGGTGCTCTGCAGGGCCTTGTGCACGGTGTGGGCCACGCTGCCCAGGAGCCCTTGTGGGCCAGGCAGGGCTGCCACCTGGGGGCCAGAGCTAGGTCAGCACCTCCTGCAGCGGCTCCCCTGGCCCTCCCCCTCCTCGCCACCCCCCGCCCCACCCCCCCAGAACTAGAGGGGAAAGCACGGGGACACCAAACTGAAAAAATCGTAGGCCTGGCTCTGCCACTTGCTGTGTGGCCTTGGGCAGGTCACTTCCCCTCTCTGAACCTGCTTCTTCACTGGCAGAATGAGGTCGACGGTCTCCGCCCTGCCTACTTTGCGGGTCAGCGAGAGACGGGCACAGAGGCTGCCCGCAGGTGAGGTGGGCGGTGCAGCAGGCGGGCACCACGTCTCGGAGCTCTGGGGGCAGAGACCCCTGTTTCACCCCATGCCTCTTTTCTCGTCCCCCCACTGGGCTGTGGGACCCCGGGGTGTCCAGGTCCCCGCTCAGCTTCTCGCCCCCTTACCTCATTGAGCCTGTTCTCCTCGGCATCGGACTCCTCCTCCTCCACCTCTTCCTCCTCCGTCTCCTCTCCGTCTGTGTGGTCACCGTGGTCCTCCTCCTGGGTGGCGGCGAGGCTGTGCAGCCAGGGCACCCGCACCTCACTCTCCCGCCGCGACACCACCTGCAAGGCCGCCGACGCTCCCCACTGGGCCAGACTGCTCTGGGGGGGGGGGAGGGGAGGAAGGCCACAGGCTGCTGGATTCGCCCGCAAACCCCCACCCCTCCGGGGTCAGCCCCAGCCGACTGTCCTAGAACTTGTTATTGGGTGATGACTTCCATCCCTGGAGGGGGCACATCATAGCGCGGCTCTGTGAGGTGTCCTAAGCACACACTTGCGTAACTCCCACAGATCAGGACACAGACCCTTTTCAACCCCCCAGAAGTCTCCCTGTGCCCCCCACGCAGGTGGGGCCCCCAAGGGGGACCACATTTTGACCTCTACCACCATGCCTTGGTTTTGCCCATTTCTGAACTTCATATAAATGGACTCATTCTATGTGTTTTCTTTCACCAATAGCTTCCTTTATGCAACACCGTGCTGTGAGGTTCAGCCGTGCGCTTGCACATCACAATAGCTCCTTCCCTTCCCTGTGGCCCCCACGCACGGATGCCACAATTCACGGGTCCTGCGGTGCATGGACGGACGCCTGTGTTGTTTCCAGTTCTTGGCTAAGGATAAAGCCTGATAGGAACATTTCGATGTGTCTTTGGGGCACATAAGCTCTCGTTTCTGGTGGGTGGAACTGGTGGGTCTTAGGGGGTATGTGTGTTTAGCTTTAGTAGATACTCCTTGGAGATCTTTAAAGAGTGAAAAAGTCAAGAGGAACCCGGTGCTCCATGGTCAGAAACAGACCTGGGCAGGTGTGCTGGTGTCCCCTTGAGGGACAGCTGGGCTCCCTCTGAACCCTAGGGAGCTCTACGAACACCCAGCATACACCTCCAGGGGACACCCCCATGCTGTACGTGAACAGGGTCCATGAGGCTACACAGTAGAGTAGGCTCTCCCTGCTGCATGTAAGGCTGGGACACGGGTCTGTCTCAGCCCCTGCTGGGCAATGACCCCCCCGGGTGCAGGGGACGGAAGGGAGCCACAGAACTTGGTGCATAGCACGGTCTCAGCAAACGTTAGCTTAAACGAATGCGTCAGGGCTGACAACGCTTTTAAAAGTGCCACCCAAATGATGGCTGAGAAGTGGCTCTTTTGTTTGCTGGCCTTTACGCTTTAATATTGTTTGTGTTTCCTTTATTTTCCTTTATTTGGCCTCCGTTTCTTACTAAAGGTCCTTAGGAAAACAATGCGGTCTATCTCTGCTAAAATACACAGAGGTGGGAGTGGGTATGGTGGGGAGTTAGCCCTAATCTTGCCTAGAAAAGGCAGCTTTACCCTGGGGGCAAGTAGGATGCAAATGAGAAACCTCTGGAAGGGAAATTTTGAAACCTGGGGGTGGTCAGGGATGCAGCCCGGCTAGCGCTCTCTCCCCAGCAGAAGGGGCTTGGGGTCTGGCCTATTCACAGGGGACACTCCCTAGTGTCTGGATAGCAGCCCAGCAGCTGGGGACGCCTGCTCCCTCATAGGCAGGAGGCCCCCTAGTGGGATGAATTCGGGTGTGGGGGGGGACTCAGAGGGACAGGAAGGGACACCCTAGCAAGGCAGGCTTGCCCTCGGCTCACGTCCTGCAGCCCAGAGGACTGGCCCTCACCCCTTAAGGCCTCTTGTTCTTAGACCAGGATCCCCAGGCCAGGCTGGAGGGGGGATGTTCCTAGGACCAGGGGTGCCGTAGGGAGGGGACAGGAGGGACCCAGGCTGGGGGTCAGCCAGGGCTCAGGGCAGACACTCACCAGGGGCGCCACACCTGGGATCCACATGGCCAGGGCGTGGCCCTGCTTCAGCACCCGGGATGTGGTCTGGAAGGTGTGTTGGGACAGGGTGTTGGCCAGGGCACCGACCCTGCTCACCAGGCTCCGCTTGCCTTTGGGAGGCTTCTGGACCTGCGGGTGTCCTGGATCAGGGGCTGGGTGGGATTTGGGGGGACAGAGAGGAAAGTTGGTCAGAGAAGGGCTCAGGAAGCTGGGCTCTGTCTAGGGTTGGGAAGTGCTCCCGGTTCCACTACAAGTTTGCTGGCGACTCGGGTCACTCACTTGCCCCACTTACAAACAGGGAGAGGAGACTGTATGTGGATGGTTCCGCCTAACATCTCGCCAGGCCTTCCCTGTTTCAGAAGCAGCGGCTGGATGAGCCCTGGCTGCCTCTTGCTAATTCCCAGGCAGCATGGGGAGGGGACTCACTTCCCGGGTGGGGGGTGGTCTGCCAGCCCCCCCTCATGGCAGATACCTGACTCTTCCTTGGCTGAAGGGAGGAGGTACTCTACCACCTTCTCGACACCACCCAGGGCCAGGTCGGCCCCCCCGGAGGCCAGCCGGCCGGCCCGGGTGTTGGCAGCATACTCGGCCGTGTCTTTGGCCACCCCCCAGGCGAGCTCGCAGCTGGCCAGAGCGGCCCCCAGGACCTTGTCCGAAGTGCTGGCAAGGGGAACGCTGATGCTATTCCTGGCACTGCGAAGGCGGGTTGAGATGGTGTCCTTCAGCTCAGAGGCGATCTGGGGGAAGCGGGGAGGGGGGTCAGGCCTGTGGGTCTGGTGGCCCTGAGCCCAGCTCCCAGGAAGGCCTCATTTAAAGGCCCAGGCAAGGGGCGCCTGGCTGGCTCAGTCAGCAGAGCACCTCTGACTCTTGATAGCGAGGTTATGAGTTCAAATCCCACATTGGGCGTTGTTGAGCTTACTTAAAAAATAAAGGCCCCGGGGACCGGCACCAATATCTGGGCCTCTTGATTAACTTGGGTTTTAAAGGGAAAGCGCTCCACTTCTCCCTGTGGATGGACCTTCTGGCTTCCTCGTCCCCACTTCCACCTATCAAGATCCTAACTGTCCTTCCCCCAGAAAGGCCACCTCCTTGATGACACCCGTCTGGGTGTTCTCACGCACACAAATTCCTCTAATGCCTTCTCTGTCCTTCCCTCAGAACACCACTCACATTCCCATCTGCGTTTATATTGACTCAGAGATGTGGCTGTTCTTGCTACCAGTTCCGTATTGAAATAATTCTCTTTCTCTCCTATTAGCCTGGGAGCTCTTTGGTGACACAGAAGCCCTTCATCCGGAAAGACGTGAAGAGCACAGGCCTCTGAGCCAAACAGACCTGCTCTCACGAGGCCTCCACTTAGGCTGTGTGGCCAGGGAAAAGTCACCAGCTTTCTCATCTGTAAAATGGGGATCCCCGCCCTGTCCCAGAGGACGGACAGAAGGATTAAATGGGAAGGCCCCACAAGTCGCATTATGGCCCCTGGCATGGGGTGGGGGTTCAGGAAATACTTGTGGGATGAGTAGACCGTTGGTCAGTGAGATAGAGCTTAGTCCCCAAAGCCCTTACCTAGCAAATCTCCAGTGAAGCTAGGTAAAGTGACCTTTTCAGTCTCATGGTCCACATCTCAAGGACATGGGACTAAAACCCCGCGATCTGAGGAGTGTGACCCGTGATCTTAGGGGACTATAGTTACCAAGTGGCCCAGTGCAGGCCGACCAGATGTCCTGGGGCAGGGCTGGGGTTGCGGTGGGATCAGAAAGCAGTTGAGACCCACTCTAAGCTCCTGAGTCTGCCCCCAGGGCCGTGCCTGCTTTCCGGAAAGGCTGCCTTCATTTGGAGCCCCAGGGAGAGGCGGAAACCTGCTGTGTGGACTTAGGGGCAGGCAGGCACCCCCAAGCTTAGGGGGCGCCTGCACTGGAATGAAAGACTGACAGTCATGATACCGTGAGCCCGTGCCTTCTCCTCCTGAGAGGCGGGACCACAGAGCACTGGGCACATTAGAGAAGAGGAAGGGGGCTCACCTTTTCAGGAGGGTACTGGAGGGCTGGGATCTTTTCCTCCAAGTGGTCCAGGCCTCGGCAGGCCAGCTCGTTGGCTGCTGTGACTGGAAGTGAAGGGCCCCGGGGGGGGGGGGGGGGGGGGGGGGGGGGGGGGGGGGCGGGGCGGCCCAGGGCAGAATCCTCAGACACCCATAAATCTCTAATCGGGATGGTGGGAGGCCCTAGACGTCTTGGTGAGGCTGGGGTTTCCCTCCGCCTTGTCAAGAGCCCTGCCCGGATGTTGTGATGAGCACCGGGTGATATGCGGAGTTAGTGAATCACTGTATTGTACATCTGAAACTAACGTCACACTTTATGTTAACTATACTGGAATAAAAAAAGAGAGCGAGAGAGCCTTGATTTGGAGACAGTATTTACAAACGAGGCAGGACCATATGAATAGGGGTGGGTCTGTAGGAGGAGCCGCATGGACTGTCACCGGCTGGTCCCATCAGCTACTGGGCCCAGAGAGCTCCCATGCCTTCTGCTCCCCCCGCCCTGAAGCCCCTCCCTATGTAGAGTTCCTGGTGCTGTCAGACGTGGGGCCAAAGTGAGGGTCTGGTCTACCACAGCCTCACTCCCACCACTGCCCACACAGCTCTGCCCGTCCCCTCCCCTGCTGACTCTGGCCCATCATGTGACCTGGAGAAAATGCTGGGCTACAGACATATAAGGAGGAGAAGAGATGTCTGTCCCTATATCTGCTGCTGCATCATCTACATTTACGGACGAAAGACTGTGCAATGGGGTGTAGGTGGTTAGAAAGGCAGACAGACAAGAAGGCACATGTCGGCAGACGGACGAGCAAGCCGTCAACGGGACAGATGGCGGGCTGCAAGTGCCGCAAAGACTCACACTGGGTGGACAGCCTGCGGACCACGGGCTCCATGCTCCAGGCCGCCAGGCTGCTGGCGCCCTGCACACCCTTCTCGTAGGCATTGCACACAGAGCCCAGCAGGGGGTGGGCTTCCTTGGTGCTGGCGTAGGTCTTCTGGAAGCACTCGCAGGTGCCGCTCACCACTGGCAGCTGCAGGACTCGCTGCAGGACGTTCTCTTGCTCCTGGTGTGGAAGAAGGGAAGGCAACCGAGTTAGTCCTCTGCCCTCTCGTGCCTCTGGGGAAGGCGGCGCAGGGTCACGGAGCCCACTGGTGAGGCTAGCCTGGGTCCAGGTGAGCTAGGAGGAACCCGGGCCAGAGACGGAACGCAAGAGCCAGTCGGCTATGCTCTCCTGGCCACGATCCGGGCTCTGGAGAGCTACTGGGACGTCACCCCCCGCCTGCGTAGGGCGGTCCCCACCTGTGCACACTCTCCCTGCCCTCCCACGCACCTTTCTGTCTGGCAAAATGCCCCTCCGTCAAGACACAGCTCGAGGATCACCGGTTCTGTGAGGCCTCCTGACCTTCCTCTGCCACGTCAGAAGCTACCACTGCCTCCCGGCTTGTCTCCACATGCATCACACGGTGCTGTGATCATGTGTGTGCCTGTCTCTCTCTCCCAGCCCACTGTCCTCTCTGTGTCTCCAGCGCCCAGCCTAAAGCCTGCGCGGTAATTTCGGCTGAATAAATGAATCAGGCGGGGCCGCGCCTACGAGGGATGAGGTTAGAGCTGCCCCGCTGCACAGAATCACGGAAGCTGAGGTCTCCAGGAGCCTCTGCAGCAAGAACGCCTCCTGCTCATAGCCTCTCTGGCCAACTTGGACTTGGATGTCTCCTTGGCTGGGTCTTGCCCCTCCCAGAGTGGCCCGTGGCCCTTGTTGGACAGCAGTGCTGAGCTGCAGTGTGCCTTAACCCACTGCTCCACCCTCTGTCCTCTGGAACAGCACCGAGTAAAGCTAGTTCATCAGTCATGGGCTGGCCCTTCGAGTGTTTGAAGGCACTATGTCTGCCTTTGGTGGTCCCTCCCCCGTGCTCAATAGGTCCAGGTCCTAACTTAGCTTGGCACGCTGGTCTGCTGTCCCCTCCGGACCTGCTACAGTTTAGTGCTGCCTCCCTTCAACACATGCACTCAGACTTGAAGACAGCATTCCAGATGTGGTCTGGGCATGTGGGGTCCAGTGGAACCGTCACTTCTCGTTACTGGGGTGCCATGTTATTATTAATGTGTTTTAACTATGGCAGCAGTCACCTAATTATACTTTAGGTCGCCTGGGAAGCTCAGTGAACAAACACAGGTGTTTGAGTGAAAGTGGACTCCAGGCCCGCACGAGGGAACGTTTCCTCAGTGCCTTAAATGCAGGGCGCTGATCAGCCTGCTTTGCTGACAAGGCCTCACTGAATTCTAACAGCGACCCTCTGAGGTCTAGCACTTTGCTGGGGAGGACACAAAGACTCAGAGATGTGAAGCAACTTGCCTGCGATCACCCAGCTAGTAAGCGGTAAGTCAGGATTGCAACTCGAGCCTGAAATGGCCCATCTGTGATTTGCTTCAAAGTGTCGCAAGGCGGAGGAGTAAGTGAGGGTGCAGATGAGCAGGACTGGCCACAGCACTGATGAGTGGCTAGCGAGGGGCATTCTGTACTTCGGTCCCCTCGCAGGAATGCTAGGAATCCTCCACGTGACCAAAGAGAAAGCTCCCCCTGTCTGACCCAGGCGCTGGGGCTCTCTCTGCAGCTGGGATGTGCCCCTGTTACAGGGCTCTGCTCCGGAGGCGAGGGCCTGGGCTCTTCTATTTGTAGGCTGAGTTAGAAGACCCATCGAGGAGGCTCGTAACAGCAGCCTGCAGCGTTTTAGCTTTCAGTTTGGAGGCGAGTTTGAAATCTGAACTAGACAAAGATGCTGGCTGTGAACAGGGAATACTTTAATATTTGGACAGACTTCTCAGAGGTTGCTTCAGGCAAAGCCAAAGAGAGTCAATCCTGACCCTATGCTCGTGTTCATTTTATGCCTCTGTATTCCATGCCTTATTTTTTTTTTTTTAACACATTCATTTTTGAGAGACAGCGTAAGCAGGGGAGGGGCAGAGAGAGAGGGAGACACAGAGTCTAAAGCAGGCTCCAGGCTCTGAGCTGTCAGCACAGAGCCAGACGCGGGGCTCGAACTCACACACGGAGAGACCATGACCTGAGCTGAAGTCGGAAGCTTAAGGGACTGAGCCCCCAGGTGCCCCCGCATTCTATGATTTAATATAAAACTTCACATGGTGATTCTGAGTGCAAAGGTTAGTTAAAGCCTAATTTGGGACAAGATGGGCAATATATGGGCTCACAATTTTTAAGTTTCGTGGACTCTCTGAACTGTACCTAAATTAGAGAGGCCTTACGTGGAGGCATCAGGTGTCAAACCACTCCAAGTCACAGTGAAAACCAGGCTGGACACAAAACCCCAGGAACACTGTTCCCTGAACCCCTCCCCACATACCGCACAGGCCGTGACCATGTAACTCGGGAGTGTTACACAAATGCCATTCACATAAACTAGAAGATGCACAACACCCCGGAGTTACAGAATACAGATTCAGCATCCGAATCTACATCTCGCCTGGGTGGACAAGCATGGGCTTCGCATCAGCGTTTAGAACTCGGTAAGTAGTTCCCATCCCCCTCCTTTCCCTCTCAGCCAATATTTCTGTTCTTTTTCTCCAAGGTGTTTAGTTTTCAGGAGGCACTGCCCCACTCCCTCCTCTAAGAGCCCCCTGCAAAAGGCAGTGAGGGCAAGAGTAATGAAGACATAATGGTCAATGAAAGGTGAATATAATCTAGACAGATTTTGTCCTAAAGCCCCCTGAAGTGGTCCTCCCTGCGCCTTCCTCCTCCAGTCAGTTCCCCCCTCGACCACCCCCCCTTCTCATAAAGGCCCAAGTTACTTACAGGGAGGTCTCCATCCGGCAAGGCTGGGCCCTTGTTGACTGCCGTCATAGCTCTTCACGCTGCAAAGCAGAGTCCCAGATCCATAAGAAAGCTCTCCGCTTGAGACTCGCAGGGTCAGTCCCTACCTCTCATGGCCAGTGACAAGGCCCAGGCTGCCTGGGGCCTCCAGCTCCCTCAACAGAAGGCCCTCAACATTGGAGGGTGAATGTCAAGGACTAGCGGCCCCTCCCTAGGGTCCCATTGGGAGGAGCTGCCCCACAGCCTACTTGTCAAGACTGATGCTTCTTACAAGGGTTCAGGGTAAGAAATGAGAAATAAGGGTAGCTTTACGAGATAAGAGGTTTTAGATGAAGTTAAAAGGCTCCTAAATGAAGATCCAAAAGAGACCAAAAGAATAAGTTTCAGGATTAGTCTTTTTGGTTTGTTTTGATGAAAAAGTTCTGCATTAACTCCTTTCTTTTTAAGCAAGCGTTATCTGCCGGTCCGTCCTTGAATGCTCAGCTAAGAAGAAAGCAGTCCCTCCTAAAACCAGCTATTTCAGCTGCGTTCTGGAAAAGCCAGTGCGCCGGGATATCTACCGCACACTCTTGGTCATTCACCTTGAACCATCCCTCCCTCAGTGGTTTCCCTGCCGGCCTCACCATCTTCAGTAAAATTCCCAGGACACCCTTACCCTCAGCTTCTTTCCTTGAACTCTTGGAAACAAAGCAGGTAAGACAGATGCTCCTGGGCCCTGCACTCAACGCCAGTGGATGCTGCCTCGGTCCCACAGAGCCCAGGCTTCTGAGTGTCTCCCCCAGCACAAACCGTTCCCGAGGAGCCTTGGGCAATGCTACTAACACCTCCCAACTAGAGGAGGGCAGAGAGGAAGAGAACGTTGAGTCAGCCAGTTGTCATGGTTATTGAGCCAAGGCCCCCTGAACTATCCTAACTGCTGTAAGGAGATCGAGCCACTAGGAGGTGGACTGCAGAGCAGACCGAAATCCAGGCACAGGGGCGTTATGATTCCAGAGCCATGAACTATCGGTTCTGTAACACACTTCTGGCCCCCAGCTCTCAAAACAAAACAAACAAAAAACCCAAAAAACAAAACAAAACACCACCTGTCTTCCAGAAAGAAGGTGTTGGAATATAGGTCATTAAACTCGTGAATTCTAAAATTCTATCATCTTTGGTTCCTTTTTCAGAGTGTCCTGTGGGGCTTTTTTTAACCCATTTCCCTCGTCCCTTATTATTTACTATCAAGAGTGGATTTTGAACAGTAAGACTTAAACCTACACAGGGTGACAGAGTTCACCCAAATGTACTACTCTTTGATTCTTCAGCTAAATTGCTCTCGGGAAGAGGACCACAGCTGGAGGTTGACTCTTTGACAATCTAGGCTTTGAGGGAGCAATTTCAACCTCTGTAAATTCCCGATTTCAAGGAAGTTTACTGAACCCCACCTGGTCTGAGATGCCACTGGAATATGCCGTCAAGAGCTAACTGGATCTTGCCAAGTCTGGAACAGCATTAGTGCTGTCCGGGATCCTCTTACTCATCGACAGCATGCAAACAGCCACAAACAATCACATCTCGTCCCTTCCTTAGTAACAAATCAGCCGAGGGCCCAAGTTCTAGCTCCTGGCTTCAAAGACGGAGGAGAGTGGTGGAAGCCACAGTTCGCAGATTATCTAAGAGCCCCTTAAAATGGATATTGGTGGTGGTGGGGGCTTCCTGGTTGGCTCAGTTAGTACAGCATGCAACTCTTGATCTCAAGGTCCTGAGTTCAAACCCCCTGTTGGGCTTAGAGCTTACTTAAAAACTAATAAAATGGATAATGGGGAGACAAACTTATTTTCCTTGTTGTTGGTAGAATTCTCTCTATTGTTGACTCTCTGCTAAACTGTATGCCGCAGGCAATAGGAAAAGGGCAGGTGGGGAGAGATGGAGCTTTCTGATAGATCCTTGGTAATCAATTCTGTATCTGTGATATAATAATGCAGGAAATGAGAGGTCAGGAAAGAGAGGAAAGAGTCATACGGCAAGCCTCCAAAAGGAGCAATAAATATGTGATACATTCAATACTTATTGATTCGACTGGGACTTCTATTTTTAACTTTTTTTAAATGTCTTAAAATTTATTTTTGAGAGAGCGAGCAAGGAAGGGGCAGAGAGAGAGAGACGGAGAGGATCTAAAGCAAGCTCCGTACTGACAACAGACAGGCCAAAATGGGGCTCGCACTCACAAACTGTGAGATCATGATCTGAGCCGAAGTCGAATGGTTAACCGAATGGGCCACCCAGGCGCCTCTACTTTTCTTTTCTTTTCTTTTTTTTAAGGTTTACTTACTTGTGGGGGTAGGGGCAGAGAGAGGAGGAGAGAAAATCCCAAGCAGGCTCTGCACTGTCAGAACAGTAAGATTTAAACATACACAGGAGGGGCAGAGAGAGAGGATGACAGTTTAGAGCCTGCAGCAGGGCTCGATTTCCTGACCATGAGATCCTGACCTGAGCCGAGATCAAGAGTCATTTAACCAACTGAGCCACCCAGGTGCCCCCGGACTGGGGCTTTTAAAATAGACGACAGCAGAGGAGGAAAGGAAGCATTTTAAAAAGGAGCCTCTGCCCTTGCTTCAAGGGTCAGGACGAATCATCCATGAGGCTGTGTCTGGAGAGCGAAGTGGGCCAAAGGGCAGTTCCAGGGTGTTGGAGCGGTGGCTCTGCGCCAGAGCACACAGGGCTCCGAGCCAGCAGGCTCTGCTGATGAAGCTGGTCCTGTGGCTGCCTCAGCCCCGAGTGCAGAATGTGGGTGAGAGGGGAGAAGCGGTGCAAGCGCCTGGGACGGTCCCCCAGGAGCAGTCCATCTTCCAGCCACAGCCTGAAGTCACGGATTTATTCCCTTTCTTCCCCCACCCCCACTCGCCTCCTCACCCCTTACCCCTCACCCCCCAACGTGAGCACAGCGACCTTGGTTCTCTTGCGTAAGTGGATCCCCAGACTAAGCGTGGCATCCAAACATTCGTTGTTGAATAAATTCTCAGGGAACAATGGTCAGTTGTGCTGTGAGTCTATTAGGAATGTCTCTGGGATTTGGAATCCCTCGTGAATGTGGAGCCTCAGAGGTCGGGATGGTTGGTTAGAAGCAAGAGAGATCTACAGAGAGGGTGGTACCAGGGTACCAGTCAGGTTTTCACTGATTCTAGAAGAGATGATATTTCTCAGACTCCCCATGGCCCACGCTAAATTGCAGAGGACAAAAGCACCAGGCTGGACGCCACCGTAACCTCTAACCCGGTAACGTGTGACATGCCGCCGCTGACGTCTCCAGGCAGCACCCAGACCGCCCGCTGGCGGAGCTGATGCAGCAGACCCTCTCCTAGAGGAGAGCACCCTAGCGGTCTTTCAACCCAGACGCCGCAGCCTAAATCTTTCTCTGTCCTCCCCCTCGGCCTGGCTCTTCCAGGCTGCGTCCACTCTGATCACCTCTGGATTGGCTTTCTTTCCGCTCTTCCTCATTCCCAGAACGCATTTGCAGAGACAGGAGTCTGGTTTTTTTCTAGAAATTTATTCGACATAATCTATGACAGTAGAGATCTGGACAAAGCAAAATTAGTCCCTTAAACTTTTTACTGGCCCTGACCTAGCAGCTTTCATTTCTCTTAAAATTCCCAGGGTTTTCTCAAATCCCATTATCTTGATCACTTTAAAAAAGAAGAGAGCCGAGGACCTGAGTCTACTTTTTTTAAAAATCTCATTCACATTTCTGGGAAATTTAGTGCACATTTCTTTGCCCTTTTCCATTCAGGTAAGTGAAATGGCTTTACGGGTAGGACTGACACGGCAGCCTCCTGCCTGATGGCCTCCTAATGTTCTATCTCACTTCCCTAAGATTAGAGGGTCTGCAGTCACAACTCAACCGCCCAGAAGGGAAGTAGGACAGGAATAAATGGCCTCCTCACCAGCCCCGTAGTGCTCTTTTCCACTCCCCAAACCACCCCACACATCGGAGGTCTGATTGAGCATAGAAATTTATGACGCTCCCACACTCGGAGTATTCACAAAAAGTTCACTGCATAAATTTTGATGAAAATTAACGCAGAAATGTGCAAACTGTTATATGGCTTTAAATAAAACAATCTAGCTGATAAATCCAGCTATAGTTTTAATTTTTATATAAACCAATGACTAACAAAGTTCCAGAAACGACTTTTTGCACAGGATTCTGGAGAGTCTCACACTCCCACTCACTCGGGAAGGCAATGAAAATACCATGGAAAGAACCCAGGCCTGGGAGGCAGAGGAAGAGGTGCTGGCCTCACTTGTTTAACCTCAGTTTCCTCATCTGTCACAGGCCACCTCCAGGCACCGGTTGTGATCTTCCACACTAAAAACAGATTTTTCTTTTTTAAATTTTAGAGAGAGAGAGAATGTGAGTGGGGGAGAGGGGCAGAGGGAGAGGATCTTAAGCAGGCTCCACACTCAGCACGGAGCCTGGTGCAAGGCTGGATCCCACAGCCCTGTGATCATGACCCGAGCTGAAATCAAGAGTCGGATGCTCAGCTGAGCCACTCAGGTGCCCGTCTTCCCCATTATTTTTACCTCAGTCCTTTCTATGCGCTTCTGATTTTTGCTTACTCACTCAGTACCTGAAGTCACAATTTATACCACGAAGGTGCCTGATGCCTTTCTGATTCTCCCTCTGGACAGGAGTGCAGTGAGCAAGGGCGAGCCCCCCGGAAGGCTGTAAGCCCAGCTTCCTGCGCCCTGGCGTGGGCACCTACGGAGAAGTGGGGGGTGGGGGGCCGGTAACTGATCAGAGGAACAAGAGGCTTCTAGGAGGTCGGAGAGACGGCTGAGCATCAGATCTATGGTCGCTGAGCCAAAGCAGTGAGATACTCTGCCCAAAAGTCACACGGTACATTAATATTCAATTGTTTGGGCCTTTTCTAATTTTTTTTTGTTTTTTTTTAATTTTTTTTTTTTATTTATTTCTAGGAGAGAGAGAGACAGCGTGAACAGGTGGGGGTCAGAGAGAGAGGGAGTCACAGACTGAAACAGGCTCCAGGCTCCGAGCTGGCAGTCAGCACAGAGCCCGACGCGGGGCTCGAACCCACGAACCGCGAGATCATGACCTAAGCGAAAGTCGGACGCTCAACCGACTAAGCCACCCAGGCGCCCTGGGCCTTTTCTAATTTTTATATATTCAGCAAGCAGTAAGCTCCCACTAGGAGCACAAGAGAGGCTCAAAAAATGTTAGATGAAAGGAAAATACTCGGAAATTCAGAATCACTCCAGCGCTCGAAAAAACACGTATAAATCTTCACGCACTGCCGTTCTGCACCCCGGGCCCCACGCTTGCTCCCGTCGCGGGTCACCCAACGCTCGCAGGAGCAGGTCCCTAGGCCCAGCCCGACACGACGTGCGCCTCCTGCAAGCGTCCGCCCTGAGACGCTGCCCTTTGGAGCCGGCCAGCACTTCACTGCGGCTTCAGCTTCAGCTGCGGACACGCCACGATGACGATGCCCGCCAGAGACGAGACGAGGCCTCCGAGTCCAATGACGCCGGGGTTGGACCTATAGATCCCCAACTGGTCCAGCGGGTTCAGGATATCGCAGAAGTTCTTTACCGTGTCCAGCAGCAAGGGAGGATGCCTCCTCAGAGATCGGAACAAGAGGAGGAGAAAGGCCTGGAGCCATTCCGGCTCCTCGTCGGCCACGCTGCTGCCAGGAGGACCCTGAGGTGGCGCTGTCGCCCCCTCTGGCGGGTCGCGCGCGGCTCGCTCCATCTGCAGGGAGATTTCGTACAGATCCCGGGCCAGGCTCAGCAGGAGGGAGCAGCAGTAATGGCGGGCAGCCCACTTCCGCCATTTCTCCTTGTTAACGTGAGTGGCGAGCCCCACGCTCCTCACCCAGAGGACGGTATCGCACACGAAATAAATCACACGGTTCACGTTGGCTAACGTCAGGCACACGCGGGGCACCAGGGCAGTGGCGTGAATGCTCTGCTGCGTCGCCTGGATGGCGTGCACCACGTTGCCCAGCCTGAACCCTGCAAGAAGGACCCACAGCAGTTAACGTGTGAGACACGCAGGCAGGATCCCTGTATCAGGGTGGGGGGCCTGTCACTGGAGGCTGAGTCTTTGCTCAGGAATAAGGAAGGATTTTCCAGTATGTTAAGGACACCCAAAAGGATCTGGAAGGCACAAAAGACAGTGACTCTAAATTTATCACCTCCATTCCAGTGAATACCTTAACATTGGCTTACAGTACACTCGAGGCATGGCCAATCATGAGTGTGGATTGTGCCATCTGAATATCACCGGCTACGCCTCTTTAGAAGAAAAGCCCTATGATAACATGAATTAAAAAAAAAAACAAAAACATGAAGTCTAGATAGTCTACTAATACTCTACTACTATTATTATTTCCACATATGAGGCTTTAATTCACTGTGGGCATTTCTCTGACCCAGATGCCAGCATTCTTTTGGGAGAGTCTGATGCCTCAGAAATTACTTACTTTCCAGACAAACGATTGCTTTTTTATAAAACACCACTAGCATTTTGCCATCTCTGTGGTTCCAAACCCCTTTGGCTCCCTACTGTCAAGAAGACAAAGTAGAGATGATGGGATTTGGTGGTAGGAAAACTGTTCCCAGTTGAAATAAATCAACAGCTGTAACGCAGATCCTTATCTGAGCATGTAATTAATTAACCCAGGATGTATCAATCAAGTACTTTTTGAGCGCCTACTCAGGATGAGTTATAATCCTAAACATTATGGACAATACTAAAGAGGTACTTGTACTTTCCTTAAAGGACTCTACCTCAGACTCAGCAAATGCTCAAAAGTATCCTACCCTCAAGCAGGGTACCCTCAAGCTACCCTGCGATCTCAAAAGAATGCCTGGTATTATTGTATCAAAAATAACACAAAACAGAATATGTAACGAATAATCCCGAGTTCCAGTTCTGGCTCTTGCACTAGCCAGCTGAATGGCCTTGGGCACGTCTTTCCTGGACTTCAGAGATTAGTGAGCTCTAACACACTACAGGATCTGAGAACTTCTAAGCCTACCCTTCAAAGCATCCAGAAAAGCTCACCCTACCTTCCAGCATCCCTCTGCTTGGTAACTTAAGTCTCCCTGTCACACTGGTTTTCTCTTTGACCTTTCAATACAATGGTTTGTTCATGAACAGTTTTGAGCCTTCACGGAGAAAATCACCCTTCGAGAAGGCTCTCCTTCCCTCTCTCTCTAGCCACACCTCAAGTTCCACCTCCTCCCAAACTTTCTTTGCCTCTATCCTAGCCAGTATATTTGGCACTAAATCTTATACCGTTGTTGTACCATGTAATCTTAGTTCTCTCATAAAGCTCAAAACTATACCTCAAGTAGGTGCTCAAAAATAACTGATCAGCATCTGATTTCTACATTCCATTCTAACACCTCTGCCCACCTACTGTAGCGACATCTGCCTCTCAGCAAGCCACTAAGACTCAGGTGTGCAATTGTTATTAGAAGGACGGGGTTTCCTGGGATGCTTTATTATTAAAGCAAAGCAAATGAGTATATAACACGGACTTCACTTTTGCCTTGAACATGAAAGCACCCCACAAATGGTCTGAGAACCATTCCATCCATTTCCTCTAGCAATTCCTCAAGGGAAGAAGGGAAAAGGCAGGGAAAAGACAAGCTATTCTGTTCTTCTAGAGAATACCATGGCCTTCCAGGAGCCAGAAAGAAGCCCATGTCAGGGACTGCCAAAACACTGTCTAATTCTAAGAACTAAAGTTGAGCTAATACGCTGCGTGTCCACGGGCCGTGATTAAGCAGAAAGCCACGGAACGGCACCCACCGCGCACACAGTAGGCTGTCTGAATGGTCTACAGCAGAACTTCAATCTTCTGGGCCCATCATTTCATGAGGGCGGCCTTACTGGTCAACCTCATCAAAAAACTGGACTGATTAGAAATGAATGACCTAGAGAGTATTTTGTAAATGACAAGGTCTGACGATTCGAAGCCAGGAGCCACTGTCCCTCAAGAGACAGGGTACTTACATTTACGGCCAGTGCTCACACTGGACTCCAGTTTCTTGAGCTTCATTACCACGTTCTCTTTGCCAGCTTTAGGCTCTAACAAATATCTAAGCAACATGCATGTGTACTGAGTGGCTCTGAAATGGAAAAAAAAAAAAAAAAAGGAAGAGAATGATTTACAAACCAAATAAAATTTGATTCATGCAACAAAGAAAGGAGAAATGTGTGCTGCTAAAAGCAAAGTTTCCAAGACAATTTCTCATGTAAGCAGTTCTTACAAGAGCATAATCCTGCAACAGTGGGCCCACAGGGCCAGAGGGTAGAGCATGTGACAGAAATGTGACACAAAGGTGATGAAAAGAACTCTGCAATAATGGTGAAAAGACCCTCAGAAGGCCTTTGGCTGGCACAGAGAAATGGATACAGTCAAAGTGGTAAACTGCCCAAAAATCTCCCCCAGGTTAAGTCTGCAAAGATTTATATTCTTTGTTTTCTCCTGTATAGTGATTTTTCAGATTCCTAAAATGAAGTTTTTACCATGCAGTTAACCAAATACTTATGTGATAAGACACACACTCAAATCAGAACCAAATGAAAAGTTCAGTTCGCACACTGCTTAATTTTATACAAAAGGATCAAATATACACACCAATACATGAATAAGTATAGGTATATTTTTATGCCTGTCTTTCAAAACTAGTTCATATTTTATATAGACTCCTATTTCATACTAAATATTCAATAAAGTGATTATCCTTATGACTACAAATAATGCCTTACTAACAGCAATGCAACACCCGAGAAGTTTTAGATCACATAATCAAGCATCTAAATGCACTTAAATGCAGTCTATTTAACAAAGGAGGCGCCTGTTTCCTACAGTCCCATAACTGCATTCGATCCCTTCAGGCTACAGATATTATTCTCAATAACAATGGAGTACATTTTCCAAAACGGTGAACTTGTTAAAAAGAATCTCTCTTTTTTAAAGTAGCTTCCTGGCTTGAGGGCTCAACCTGGTCATATCAATGAAACCTCTTTCTCAGATGTGACTGAATAACAGGAATGCATCCAAAACCATGGTAGTATTTTATGAACGCCAGTTTGTTTGCAGGAGCTATAGATCACCAAGGGCATTGGGAAATGAATACTAGAGATCTCTGATCTTGCAGAAAAGTATATCCTCAACAACAACTTTATTAACCAACCTCACTGATACATCTTGTGGGGCACATTCCGAGTGCACTGAAATTTGAGGCTTCTGTTTTTACAACGCTTGCATACAATGCATTCATTTTAAAAAAATCTATCAAATTAATTACAACAGTAGTGTGGGCTGGTCATTAATATGGTGGACACTGGAATCAACTTTGTGGATTAATTTTTAAAAAATTTTTTAAATGTTTTATTTATTTCTGAGAGAGAGAGAGAGAGAGAGAGAGACAGCATGAGCAGGGGAGGGTCAGAGAGAGAGGGAGACACAGAATCCGAAGACAGGCTCCAGGCTCTGAGCTAGCTGTCAGCACAGAGCCCGAAACGGGGCTCGAACCCAAAAACCATGAGATCATGACCTGAGCTGAAGTCGGAAGCTTAACCGACTGAGCCACCCAGCCGCCCCTCAACTTTGTAGATTTAAATCTTAGCTCTGACACTCAGGGCCTATTAACCTTCTGCGTCAGTCTCCCCGTCTGTGAAATGGGAATAATTGAGTACCTCTTAGAGTAGTGATGAGGGTTAAAGGAACAGACAGCTGTAACGCACTGAGAACAGTACCTGGCGTAGAGTCGGCTTACGAAAATCCCCCTACTGGGGCTACTCTTACTGGACTGTCGGCATTAGCACCTGTACACCCAGACGAGAAGGGAATGCTGTCCAATGAAACTGCAATCATGACTATTCTTTTATTATTATTGAGTAAGAATCAGTCAAATTTCTAAAAGAAACATCATGAACGAATTGGGTTTAAAGCACGACCTCTGCTGAGGATTTTCAGTGGTGCAGCGTATACCTCACAGGGGCCCTGCGTGCTGCGCTCTGTTCCAAGGCTCACAAAACTATTTCACACACAGTGTCTCGTAGGGGCCGAGACCAGGCTGCCCCCAAATGTGCCGCTTTGCTCCAATGATTATTTTAAACAAGTTACTTAAGGGGCGCCTGGGTGGCTTAGTCGGTTAAGCGTCCGACTTTCGCTTAGGTCATGATCTCGCGGTTCGTGGGTTCGAGCCGCGCGTCGGGCTCTGTGCTGACTGCCAGCTCAGAGCCTGGAGCCTGTTTCAGCCTGTGACTCCCTCTCTCTCTGACCCTCCCCTGCTCATGCTTTCTCTCTCTCTCCTAGAAATAAATAAAAAAAACATTAAAAAATTTGGGGCACCTGGGTGGCTTAGTCGGTTAAGCGTCCGACTTTAGCTTAGGTCATGATCTCGCAGTTCGTGGGTTCAAGCCCCGCGTCGGGCTCTGTGCTGACTGCCAGCTCAGAGCCTGGAGCCTGTTTCAGTCTGTGTCTCCCTTTCTCTCTGACCCTCCCCTGCTCATGCTTTCCCTCTCTCTCCCCTAGAAATAAATAAAAAATATTAAAAAAAAAATTAAAAAATTAAAAAAAAAAACAAAAAAAACAAGTTACTTAAGAAACAGCGGTGCAAGGACACTCAGCCCCTCCTCTGTCCCCCAGAAAGTAGGAAACACGCCTCTCATGTGAAAATACGGTCCCTGTACTAAGAAGTGAAAAGACCTCCTCACTTAAAAAGAAGGCTTTTGTCTAAACGCTTTACACAGACTTTACAAAGGCATAAATCACTTCCTATTTTAGTTGAAAATATCGTAAGAAAAAAAAACCCAACAACCTGCATTCCTTCTCTGTCCCTCCAAGTTAGACTCTTATCATGTCTTCAAAATGTAAACACAGCCCATGATAGCCTGAGACCTGAAGAAAAAAGCCAGGGCACCTTTTTTTTTTTAATGTTTTATTTATTTCTAGTAGAGAGAGAGAGACAGCGTGAGCAGGGGAGGGTCAGAGAGAGGAGTCACAGACTGAAACAGGCTCCAGGCTCTGAGCTGGCAGTCAGCACAGAGCCTGACGCGGGGCTCGAACCCACGAACCGCGAGATCATGACCTAAGCGAAAGTCGGACGCTTAACCGACTAAGCCACCCAGGCGCCCCCCGGGGCACCTTTTTAAAACATAAGCTGCTTTTGGGGCACCTGGGTGGCTCGGTCAGTTGAGTGTCTGACTTTGGCTCAGGTCACGAACTCATGGTTCGTGGGTTCGAGCCCCACATCAGGCTCTCTACTGACAACTCGGAGCCTGGAGCCTCCTTTGGATTCTGTCTCCCTCTCTTTCTGCCCTCCCCGGCTAATGCTCTGTCTCTCAAAACTAAATAAAAATTTAAAAAAAAATTTTTTTTAAAGGGAAGTTTTTGGAAATCGGGTCTATAATGTGCTCTTTCCACAAAGATTAGCAAGAACAAAAGCTGTAATATTTTCATTTACATTTGTCTATGTATATGTATGTGTGTCCATATATATGTTGTAAGTAGAGATATATTCCTCTATCTCTGGATAGTATTGCTAAAATTAATTTGTACAAGAGCTCTACTGAGTTGGTTTGAAGACAAGTGCTCATAAAGATTGGGCATTCTAACACTAAGAAAGATAGCAACTTAGCCAAACATTTTTCAAGTTTCATGATCTGGAAAAATACCTGGCATTAAAACTAATTTAAAGTTGTTGGTTTAGTTAAGATAAACATGTCTTGAAGCGTCCAACTTTGCCTCAGGTCATGATCTTGTGGTTCGTGGGTTTGAACCCTGCGTCGGGCTCTGTGCTGACAGCTCAGAGCCTGGAGCCAGCTTCGGGCTCTGTGCCTCCCTCTCCCTCTGTCCCTCCCCTGCTCATGCTGTCTCTTTCTCTCAGAAATAAATTAAAAAATATTAAAAAAAAAAAACAAACATAGAAAGTTCGTGGAAAAGGAGCCTTTGAAAAGGAATTTTATATGTGGTCAGTACTAAGATTAAAGTAAATGTATTTAAGAATGAGAATGAGTTTTAAGGGGCACCCACGTGGCTCAGTTGGTCAAGTGTCCTTCGCTCAGGTAATGATCTCATGGTTCATGAGTTCGAGCCCCACACTGGGTCTACTACTGTCAGCCTGTTAGCCCAGAGCCTGCTTCAGATCCTCTGTCTCCCTTTCTCTACCCCTTTCTTGCTTGCACTCTCCCCCAAAATAAATACATATTTATTTTTTAAATAAATACATATTTTTAAAAAATGAGTTTTAATATCCAAAGTACACTGGTGCAAGATTAGAATTTTTCTCTTTTAAAAGGAAGAAGTTTTCAGAAACAAGTGTTGTTGAGAATGTGGAGAGAAAAAACCGTTTTGCACTTTGGTGGGAATGCAAAGTAGTGCAGGCCTGCACCATGGAAAATAGTATGGACGTTCCTCAAAAAATTGTAAATAGAATTACTATATGACACAGTAATGCTACTACTGAGTATTCACCTAAAGAATAGGAAAACATGGAGCGCCTGGGTGGCTCAGTCAGTTGAGCATCCGACTTAGGCTCAGGTCATGATCTCATGGTTCGTGCGTTCGAGCCCTGCGTCGGGCTCTGTGCTGACAGCCAGCTTGGAGCCTGTCTTCGAATTCTGTGACTCCCTCTTTCTCTGACCCTCCCCTGATCACGCTGTCTCTCTCTCTCTCTCAAAAATAAATAAAACATTTTTAAAATTAAAAAAAAAAAAGAATAGGAAAACACTAATTTAAAAAGATATATACACTTCTATGTTTACTGCATTATTTACAATAGCTAAATTATGGAAGCAACCCAGGGCCCATCAATAGGTTAAAGGACACACACACACACACAGGAATATCACTCAGCCATAAAAAAGAACAAAATATTGCCATTTGCAACAAACTGGATGGATCCACAGTCCGATGTTAAGTGAAATAAGCCAGAGCCAAATACCATTTCATTCATATGATTTCATTCATATGTAGAATTTTAAGAAACAAAACAAAGAGAGGGAGACAAAAGGCAAGCCAAAAAACAGACTCTTAGCTATAGAAAACAAATTGATGGTAACCAGAGGGGAGGTGGGTGGAGGGATGAGTAAAACAGGTGAAGGGGATTAAGTGCAC